ATCAAGGATCGAGCGACATCACTTGCTTATAAGCTTTTAAGCGGCAGCGCCACAATCTGAGATCATTTGCTTGCTTGGAGCTATTAAGTGGCAGCGCCACATACATTCAGGTATAATTTCTGCAACATAAACTCCTAATTATATATCGGAATTGCTACACATCACACACAACTTGTTAATAGGTATTCTAGCATGTTTAGATAGCTGACCTTAGGTTAGTTCACTACCGAAGCTTTGGCCCTATAGGTCAAGGCTTGGCCCCTTTCTGTGAGCCCTAGAGACCATTAGGGTCATTTAGGCCTGTAGAGTAGGCCACCCATTTGTGCCATTGGGCATCGTCGTTTTCCCACACGAAGTGGGCATCGCTAGGATTTTGGCCTTTTTCTGGTTTTGGGTATGATACCCCCCACCTTCTGTGAGCCTTAGAGACCATTAAGGTCATTTAGGCCTGTAGAGTAGGCCACCTATTATGCCATGGGCATCGCTGTTTTCCCACACGAAGTGGGCATTGCTAGGATGGTTTTCTGTGCGGGTAACTTGCCAGGAGGGTACTCTTAGGGTGTTTATTTACTTTTTTTGTACTCTGAATGTCATGCATGCATTTGTTTTTACACACCTTATTTCACATTGTACTTCACTTACATATATGCATTACATTAGTAGACCTAGGGATATTTCATATCCGTTTCATGCATCATACATAGCGCTAGGTACATTCTTGTGCATATTGTGAAGTCCCTGATTGAAACCCTTTTGAACTACATATCCTTGATTTCTTAAGATAGAGTTTTCCTATCTTGTATATATATAAGGCGATTGATTGTGTTTAGGATGTTAGCTGGCAGCTCACTACAGGCAAGCATAAGCCCAGGTTGTACACCCCTCAGTGCGTCCTTTCACTTCTGGTATGTTTTGAGTCTGTCATTTCTCTTAGGGTAGCAATTCGATCCTGAATCTTTTAAACTCAAAATTTTAATCATATCTTTATCCATTCAAAAAGGTTTAATCATCATTAAAGATAAATAGAATAGACTCTTTGGAATAGAACTTAGGAACTCTTTTTGTGCACCAAATCAAGAAGTAAATAATACACCATCCTTAATCGAGAGTTTTCTTAGATCGATGTCTAAGATGTAATTAACTACGGGGGCTTGCGCCCGTAGGAAACCGATCCCCACAATCAAGTAAACCCTATTCGATGCTGATGTATCGAATAGGGGAAATCTCGTGAATTTAGGGTTATATATATTATTATCCATCAAGGTTGGTAGGTGAAAGCCGCTACCCTCCATGGCTAATCGTATGTATAACTCCATCTGCTCTTCCATCGGCTTGCTTGTGTCGATTGTAAAGGCCTACGACCATTTTGTCTTTCGGGATAGTGTGGTCGTATCCTTTGCATTCGAACCACATGAGCAGAATCCTTTCGGAGACCCACAGATAACTTTCATACTCGGTTCTTTCTATCTTTTCTTTTATCAAGTATCTATCAATTTAGACATCTTTAATGGTATCATGGTGGAAAGGATCTTCGGCAATGTTAATTGTGCATGCTTCTCACACACCATAATCATTAGTCCGTCAATGTAAACTTTATTGTCTTCAAGAAATCTTTTGAGCCACATTTCTTTACAGATGTTATGGGCCATAACCCTAAATTCCACTTAAATGCTACTTTCATAACAAATGTCTGCTTTTTATTTCTTCCTGCAACTAAATTTCTCATTAAAATGAGAATAAACATAAGTGGATTTATTATCAGTCAGCATCCGTAAAGATTTCAAAACTTCTATTTGCTCCTTTCTAGAATAATAAGTCTTTTTTTCTGGTAAACTTTAAGATATATTGGTATCTTATAAATAGTATCAAGATGTTCATACGTGGGGACATTCATGTATCAACTAACTACATTGAATGGGAAGCAGATATCATATCTACTGAGGGTAATTAAGTCATGAGTCTTCCAACCAGGCATTGGTACCTATCTTTGTCAACTTATGGCGTACCACTTTGGGACCCACTTTTATTGATAGCGTCCACTGGTGTATTAATAGGCTTAGATCATGTGATACAAAATTCTTTTGGGTGGTTCAAAGTTTACTTGATCTTGCAATTTTCATAAAAAGGAAAATTTTTAAGGCCCCCAAATCTTTAATTTCAAATTCATTTGCCAAATTTCATTTTATTCTGCTTATCGCTTTCTCATTGTTGTTAATAATGATAATATTTTGAACAAAGACAATGAAAATTGTAATTTTATCTGTTGATGATTGACTGACAATTAAAGTGTGATCAATCGATCCTTCAGAATACCCATGCTCTTTAATATTAGCGATGAATTCATTAAATCAAGCTCTTGATGATTGCTTTACACTTTATAAAGATTTATTGAGTCTTTAGATTTTATTTTTATTGTTAGCTGTCTCAAACCGAAGTGGAATAATCATATAAACTTCATCTTCATAACCACAATTTAGGAGGACATTTTCAGCACATAGTTGATGAAGTGGTTAATCTAGATTGGCAATGAAAGAGAGGATAACCTAGAAAGAAATCATCTTAGCAACTGATGCAACGGTTTCTTGATGATCAATCTTATATATTTGAGGAAACCCTTTAACAACTATTCTAGCTATATACCTTTCAATGCCCCCATCAACCTTGTATTATCTATTTGCACCAAACAAGTTTCTTCCTTTTTGGCAGGTTGAGAGTATTTGTGTGTCATTTTCTTCCAAAGCCCATATTTCATCAGGAATAATCTCTCTCCATTCAAGTTTACCTTTAATGCTTCAAAAATATTGTTAGAGATGCCTATGAAAGAAAGATTTGTTATGAAGGCAAGGAACTGAGAAGATATATTTTCATAGGAAATATACTCATTGATTAGGTTTTTGGTGCAAATCTTTCTACCCTTCATGTGAGCAATCAATGTCGTGCTTAAATATAGTATTACCATGTAAAGAATAGTCAAGGAATGGGGCGAACACTTGTTTGAATCATCCGAAATGCTTTAAACTTCCTCGTTAGTTGAAATTTCCTAATTTTTGAAATCGACAACACATTATAGCTTGCTCATTGTATGTGATCTAGAGAATTGTTTGTATTACATACTGGACCTGAATATATGCACCCCGGTCTATCGGTATGGGACAATTGTAGGAATGTTGTTGGGTCAAATTTTCATAATGCATATTAGTTTTAAGATAAGACACTCCCTAAAGATTTCACCCCTATTTTGCAAGGAATTTAGGATCTAATTCCAGATTTCCTATAGGTGCAAACCCCATACTTAATTATCCACCCCATGACAAGAGAGAATTTTTTATTAAGAGAAGTCATTAGATAAGCAATAGGCACCGAGCATATAGAAACAACAAATTAAGTATTTAAATTTTAAAACTTATCAACAACAACAACAACATCAAGCCTTTGTCCCACTACGTGGGGTCGGCTACATGAATCCTTTTTCGTCATTGTGTCCGAATAAAAGTCAATTTCTCATTTAAATCTAATAAAGAAAGATCATTTCTAATATTTTATAACCAAGTCTTTTTAGGCCTACCTCTACCTTTCTTAACATAAGTCAAATCTAATACATCAACTTTCCTAACCGGGTCATCGGAAGGCCTCCGTTTAATGTGACCAAACCATCTAAGGCGACTCTCTCTAATCTTATCTTCCACAAGAGCTACTCCAACCTTTTCACGTATATGCTCATTTCATATCCTATCTTAAGGGTCAAGCCACTCATCCACCTAAGCATCCTCATCTCTACCACACTTAACTTAGTATTATGCATCTCTTTTAATGGCCAACATTTGACACCATAAAATAGATGGTAGGAGGAATGCAGACGAACCCCAATTAAAATCTCATGGTTTCGTCGTCTCAGATTGTCATGGTTGCTGGTCTACTTAGTTATAAAAGGTATTTGATAGGAAACACTTGTAGATCTCAAGTATTTCCTATCAATCTTTGGAAAACAGCAAAAATCCTCCACAAGAATCCACAGAAAACCAAGAAAACAGTAGAAAAATTGTATGATTTGATGAAATAGAAACGGAAAACAACAAGATACAATTAATCCTCAATTAGAGAGAAGGATCAATCTCTCCCAAATCTCTAGACACCGCTAGGCCCAAAGAAAACCTAAAACTAGATCTCAAATTTCAGCCAAATTCAAGATGCCCTAACCCTAGGAAAACAAACTATTTAATGCATATAATTCAAAAGGAAATCTCTAAACAGTCCCTACATTCAAATTCCCTCCTAAACTTTCTCAAAAATCCTTCATAAATCAGCCCGGTGGAGGTTTGCGGTCCGCTCGGTCTCCACGGGAGAGGCAGAACCTCCGCCTCTACTTGCCTAGGTCGGTCCCGTGTGGACTGACTGGACCGGTCTAACAAAACTATCCTCCCAAAGATGAGTTCAGGATCTTTGATGAATTCAAGTGTGTGACAAGTTAGGGTCGCATTCTAATTTGATTAAGCTAACCTAGTTGATCATGCATGTACATGATACTTTATGCATGATAAGATTTTAGAAACTATGATGTTAAACTCATACCAGAACAATATAAGGGGAAAATGAAAAAAAAAAAAAAAAAAAAAACTAGCAGCAGCATAATTATCCTCTTAAAACACCAGGCATAAATAAAATAAGATTAAAAAAGGCACCAAGAGCCTTGTATTCTGGTTGCTAAGCAATTGGCTGACCACACGACAATTCAAGGGTTTGAAACCAAGGCATGGGACTTTCTTATGCATTAAATGACAAGAGGGGATCAAACTCCGCTTATATTTAAAAAAAGGAAATACTGACAGGAAACTAGGGGAAATTATATCAAAAATTAACAATTGCGGATTAAATTAAGAATGTATTCCAAATAATGCAGTGTAAAATAGCTTCATAAACTCTGAACGTCTTCAATTTAAAAAATAGACGAACCACTAAATTTAGCTACAGTGACCATAACATTGGGATTAAGTTATAAGTACCGATTCGATAGCATAGACAGGAACCATAAGAATGATGCCGATCAGAAATTTCTGCTCCTGAAGAAAATAAAAATCACTAGTCAGTTTTGTTCAGCAGCACTAAGTATTATATCACAAGCTTCGTACCCTATGCACATCAAAGATTCCAAAATAAATTTCAGCATTCAAAAGTCTTCTCTATTGCCATAACTATTACGTAGGAAATTAGGAATGCACAAATAAAAGTGATATAGATAAAAATACTGAAATTCCACTACAAAATAATTTTATATACAGCCTTAACTACATAAAAATTGCACAAAATAAAACCAAACACAGAAAAAGAGACTTGCATGCAATACAATTACAAGCGGAAAAGAACATAAAGTCATACCTCGGGCTCATAATACACAACAAGATGATCCAATACAAGGAACAGTGACAAGACTACTGAAACCAACACGAATATGCCTGCACTTAAGATCGGCCAGCTCAGAAGTATGTTTGACTGTCCATACAGGTTAAGATATAACATTTTCCTTGAGATGCCAGATGACTCAGCCGCAGAAAAAAGGAAAAATATTGAAGGAAAGACCATCTTCAATGCCATCTTAGCAAGAGCAGGAGTTTGTACGCTCCAAAACAAGAACATCCACCCATATACAAATAACTAGCTATATGCCTGCATGCACATCGCACTCTACTTCTTCAAAAGTTTTCGTGCACAACAACGAAGTTAACCGACATATGTAATGTGGGTAATAATAGCCAAAACAATATTAGAAGGTGAATGCCAGCACCTGGATGTTTAATCGACAAAAAACCACGTTGCTTGACATTATTTGCTGAGCATAGTGACGGAACCACATTCACACTGATGTCGGATGAAAATGCAAATATCTGAAGAAAATAGTAAGAACTTTATGTGTCAAAAGATTAAAAGAAAAACTTAAAGTATACATGCTTTGTATAATCCTAGTGCTTAGAAAAACATCATGATGAAAAGCTAAAATATTAATCCAATAGATCAAAAAGGTCAAATAAAACATCAGCGTCTAATGTGGAAACACTATGATAAAATATGGAATAAGTGAGCCAAAAGCTTCCTACAGCTAAGAAATCAGGCAAAGTTATGAAACAAATAATAAAATAGCTACAGAACAAGAAATTTACAGAAAAGCACAATTGCTTTATTTTATCTCACCAGTGCATTAGTTAAGTCAAATTAGTATTTTTCTTGATAGTCAAAAACAGCATGCATGATTAGCAAGGAACAACAAGGACAAAGTAAGATAATGAAACTTAGATGTTAAATTTCTAGTTTTCTTTCAATCAATATATCTAAGAAGCATAACCCTAATGAATTCATGAAGTAAAGTATTTCAAGTTCAAAACATGTTGCTCTATTTATATTTTCCACAGTAAGAATAAAATGAAAAAATGCTAACTATATGTTCAGTTATTTCAAAGGTACAATTGATAGTTTGTTTATTCAATTACCTTAGTAATCTGCACAGCAAAAACTCATAGGTACAAAGTAGAAATCAAGCATTTACAAATGTTAACACAAAATTAACATGGAAGGTAAAGAAACTAAAACTTACAACAATTTTCCTTCTCGTGCCTCAGTTCCGCAAATAAAACACATATATGTATTACATTCCTTCAACCCAAACTTGGAACACAGCTTATGAATGCTACAAGTGTAGCATTCATAAATAAACACACTTGTATTTAACTTCCAGAAAGTTGGATACTGCCCATACTAACGCACATCAGCTTTTGAAGAAAGGCTACTAAAATAAGATGCACCAAACTCGAAACCCATTTGGCAAAGCTTTTTTATTGCTTGATTATCTTTTTTGAGACAAAAAAAAAATCATCTTTATTGCATTTGGTTAAGTGCATGACAACTGATACAGTGTAAAATTCAGCTAAGTTAAAATGTAGGGTAATCAAAAAGCTGATATGCTTTCATGAGACATACATTTACTTTTGCCCTTCTTAACACAAATATACCATTAAATAATCTTAACAATACCCTTCAATATTATTTTTCCCATTTCATTAAATACCCTCAATAATTCTTTCTATTCGCATGTAAATCCTTTCCTCAATTCATGCAATTCCTTACCTATATATCAATTCGAATATCCCTGATATTGTTCCCTTCCTATTTATGTACAATTCTTTTTCCTTCATCACAATAAATGCTGATCCTTCCCTCCCATTGCACTTCAAACAACACCATTCAGGAACAATTCTCAATAGGGACTCTCCTTCGTTCGTATTGTGATCGATCAACAGGTCAATTTTAGGGCATCCACTTAAGGTTAATCAAATGTTACGTCTTAAAGTTTCGAAGTACGTAGCATCCACTAAAATGTCTAATTCAAGACAAAATATGGCAACCAGTGGCCAGAGACAAACTGCTAAAGCTCGCAAGTAGCTGTTCAGTCCGACAGAACTCCAAATCAGCAGCTTTCTCCAACGAAGCAAAGCTTTTGTACAATTCAAGGAAGAATACAGCAAAAATCTAGCAAAAATCAAATTGAAAGTACAACAATCACTGCAAGTAGTGAAAAACTCCGTTAAGTCCAATTCACTACTGAGAAAAAAGTACAACTGAAAAAACAGTATCAATAAGCATTCGCCTTAAGTGAGAAAAAGAAACCGGTAAGCACTATGCCTCAAGGAATCCAGATCTTTTAAAAGCGAACCCCCGGAAAAACAGTAGCGGCGTTCCTGTACCGAACTGACGCATTTCGTAAACTCAAAACCCTAACTACTTTAGAAAATTATAGCGCCTAATTACTCGAAGATATCTGAAAGGGGGTACTGATAATGTGAGTTACTGGTTATAACCTGAAAAAGAGGTTCAGACAGAGAGTTCTACAATCAAACTAGAGAGTTACTGAATCGCCTGCAAGCTTCCTGATTGTTTTCTTCTTTCACCCTCCTCGAACAGCCTGTTACATGCTTGTATCTCTGATCTGTCTCGGAAAAAATTATTACGTGCGGACGAGCCCTACAATTTCTTCCGAAGATCGGACAGCTTTCCAACTGGCAACGGAGAACGACGAAAATCCGTGCGTGAATGCCATCTAGGGACTCTATGTTATAGCAAATCGAACCGTCCATTGGATAAAGCGATGGATTGATAAATGCGGGTCGCGGGTAGTCGCATAAAAAAAAAAAATTTTGGGAAAATTAAGGAGTCGCATAAAATTTAGTAAACTTTGCAGTATGCTTGCAACTTCTGGAATGTTTGTTTCATGGATATGATGCAACATTATTTTATTTTTTATATTTACAATTATTAAAATTGCATGCATATCATTTCAGTCATTAAAAGTTAAATAAATTTTATAAAATTTAGATAAATAATAAACTAAGTTTTTATATAATATATTAATTTTTAAATAATATCAAAATATCACTCATATGAATTTAATTAATATAAAAAATATATTTTCAAGCATGTTTTCCGGTATCATTTAAACATTAAAATGCTATATTAATAAATATAAAATATGTAAATACATATAACTTTAATATTATGCATGTAAATTTTCCTAGATGTTATCACAATATAAGAGAAATTTTTTAAAGGAAGTTAACACTTCAGCATGATAATTAATTGCTATTTATATTTCCATCCAAATAATCAGAAGCATAAATACATTCATATTTAAGTATTTATATTACATGTCAACCATCAAAATTGAATCTTCATTTGAGTTGATTTTCTTATTATTTTATAAAGAAAATTTTTAGTATAAAAATTTTTTGAACTAAAAAAATTTTTATTAAAAATTTATTTTAAAAAACAGTTAAAAAGAAATCTAAATCTTCACATTCATTTAAATCTTTATTGCCCTCATTAATAAGCTACTCAGCCTAGTTGATTTTGTTGACATGAGATATCAACCAATATCATGTGACCAATTCGCAACGAGTATCAAATTGAAAGATGATGGTTTACGAGGGAGACTGATTAGCTAATTGGTCTCACTTGAGCTTAAGTTGCTTCTATGATGGCAGAACTTGCAGAAGAGCTTTTGCCTATGTACTTTGCAACATTATTTTTGCTCTCATTAGTGTTGGCATTATTTTTTGTTGCATTTTTTTGACAATGAAACCCTCTATACCCAATGAACAAAATCAGCATATAAGTGAATTGTCTCACGCATTGATAAGTAGAAAGGACTGGGCTGACCTCCCAAAAAAAATCTCTCAATAGCTCAGCATCTAGATTAGGGCAAATTATTAGGTCCGGTCATCGAACCTATTTTTAGGTCCAGAAATCCACTAAAAATTTGTCACATGGACTGCGCTTTGATTCAAAAAAGCACAGGTAAAACGCAGTCAAAAAAGCGCAGTCAAAGCGCACCTAAAGCACACCAAAAGCGCAGTCAATGCGTACAGTCAAAGCGCAGTCCATGTGGCAAGTTTTTATTGGATGTCCGGACCTATTTCTAGGTCAGGTGACCGAACATAATAATTTTCGAAGAGAATGTTTGAATGTACTCATTAGAATTCTTTCAAAACACTTGGTTTTCTTATAAATTACATTCAAAACAAACAATCAAAAAGAGTTGTAAGATAAATAATATTACACATACTTGCCTCTGTATTTTGGCTTGCTATCTCTGTCAAACAAGGATTTTGTATTTTGAGCATCAGAAGAACTGAACACTGCAGAATGAAGATTACCTTCTTCCATCCATTTGAGGTGGTTCTCTCTGAAGTCCAAGTGCTTCTTTCTAGCTAACTCTGAAATCTCTTCAGTGTAATGGCCAGTCTTCACCATTGTGAGCAAATAGCGACTATAGCGTAAACTAAGAATCTGCTCACAGGAAGCTATCAATGTGAAGCAAGGATGTTCGGGGAACTGGGCAACAGTTACCACATCCTCCCTAAGTACAGGAAAGAAAAACACAAGCCTGCCTCCCATGACAAGCATCCTTGCAGCAAGTTCAAGAAGGTCGTTCACACATTCTGCTAAGCTGTAAGCTGCAGTTGATGGAATGTGGTTAAATCGTTTCTCTTCTGGAACTGTGTATGGGTCAACAGCGCCTTTAAGTAATTTTCGGCCACCAGATTTCCGTCCTCCAGCACGAACACCGTAAGGAGGATCGCAGATTATGGCATCAAATACCTTGATGTAGGAAAATTTGTAATGGATAAGTTTGAGTATGATCAGTTTAATTATCCTAACCTAATCTAGTATTTGATAATACTATTGAGGAAAAATGGGAAGAAGTTCCCAGTTATATACGTGAGAAAGACGTAATGATTTAGGCTTCAGTTTTCTTACTGCTTTTTAAAACAGCTTCTTAATTTAAGATTTTAAAATTTTAAACTAGAAAGCTGTTTTCAGAAGCAATAAAAAAGCCGTCCCAAACGAGGCCTTAGTTTACTGGGGCTCCAAACAACAATTTAAATGGCGCCAAAATCTAAAATTTAATGCTTACCGAGCAAAAGTTAATGCATTTTTTCCCACTTTTAATATATCACCTAAGCAATATGGACCCCAATTTGATTGTGGCGTACGAGTATAAGAAAAAAATCAAGAATTTACTAATTTGATGTCATCTTCTTTAACATGCTCTGTGCCCGACCTGCCATATTCAACCATATCAATTTTGACGAGTGCCGTTAGCATTGGCTAAAAAAGGTGGAGCTTGGAAATATTATGGATTAGCATTGGCTAAAAAAGGTGGAGCTTGGAAATATTATGGATCAGCGATTGATAAGAATTTGATAGAAAACCCTTGCTAAAATCCGAGAAATCAGCCACTTGCAAACAATTTTTGAGAAGAAGGAAGATGAATAACAACGAAACAAATTTTATTTGATGAAAGACGAACAAAAGCAAGTAAGATACAATGGAATGGATCTTCAATTCGAGAGGAAGATCTAGCTCTCCCACTAGCGGCTAGAGCCCAAGTACCTAAAAGAGAGATCTCTAACTTTCAGCAAAATTCAAGATGCTCAACCCTTGGAAAACAAACTTTTTAATACATACAATCTAAAATGAAATATCTAAATAGCCTATACTTTCAAATTTCCCTCTTAAACTCCTCCTAAATCCTTCCTAATCAAAGCTTTTGGACACTGTGGTTTGAGCAGCACGAGCATGAGGCAGAACTTTTGCGCCTCGGTTACACGCAAGCCAGTCTCGTATGGACCGGCTGAATCGGTCTAACAATACCCCCCCCCCACACACACACCAAAAGACATACATTGTTCGCAAGGTGGAAAGACGACACCCTCCATTCAATCGTCATCACAAATGGTAAGAATATTAAGGGTTCAGTCCATGTATTTATGCCCCGACATATACCTATCCTCGCATCTGAAACAGAGCCCATTCATCCTCTTCTCCCGTAACTCTGTTTATATAAGCTTCTTGAAATTGTCCCCAGGTCTTCCACCTACAGCCTTCTCCCAGTGTCAGCTCCTTAGGTGTCAAGAAGGTGGTTTTCATCCTGTATGAACCTCATGAGTTGCTGCCTCTAGTCTCTTTCTTTAGGTGCCTCTGATCCTCCACTAACTGAGCTAACTACATAGCCTCTCCCAAATCACGATGTCTCATCACTCAAACTGTCGCTCGAAACTCTGGTTTGAGCCCTTTCATATAGTTCCCCTCCAATATAGTCTCTGAAAGTTGGTTCAGTCAGCTAACCAGGTGCTCAAACTACTCACAGTATTCCACCGTCGTCCCCTCCTACGTCAAGGCAAATAATTGCTCATAGAAATCTCCTCCTCTGCTAGTTCGAAAATGTTCAAACAAGCAATCCTTAAACTCCCTCTAGGTCCGTATGGGTCGCCTTGTTTCCTTCCACTGGTACCATGTTAAAGCTTTCCATTCCAAGCACATCCCGGCTGTCGTTAGTCTCTCCTCCTATGTTAGCCTATTAACGGTAAAGTATCTTTCCACCTTGTAGATCCAGCCATGGGCATCATCTCCCTCAAAAATAGGCATATTTAGCTTCCTCACCCTCGGATCTCCTCAATTCCCCCTGTTTCCTCCATAATTTTTCATTCTCCAAGGAGGTGGTTCCCCCCAAAAGTCTCAATCATCCCTTTTATGCTCATTCCCAAACATTTCATCAAATTCTCACATTGTCCTTTCAAATTCAAAACCCCTGGGATCATAATAAATCCTTCTCCTTTCAATTTCAGCCCCCCCACCCCCAGCCATGGGCATCATCTCCCTCAAAAATAGACATCTTTAGCTTCCTCACCCTCGGATCTCCTCAATTCCCCCTGTTTCCTCCATAATTTTTCATTTTCCAAGGAGGTGGTTCCCCCCAAAAGTCTCAATCATCCCTTTTATGCTCATTCCCAAACATTTCATCAAATTCTCACATTGTCCTTTCAAATTCAAAACCCCTGGGATCATAATAAATCCTTCTCCTTTCAATTTCAGCCCCCCCACCCCCAATTACCCCTCTCCTCTCAAATTCAACACCCCTTTGTTCATGTTCCACCTCATCACGCTTCTCCCCATACCCTCTACCCTGCTCCCCCTAGGAAAAGGCTCTTGGAGAGGTATTCTCTCTTTTCTCTTTCGAGTTTCCACCTCCTGATCTTCCCTTTGCTTTATTGGATTTGAGTTTTCCCCGCTTCTCGGGTTGCCGGAGGCTTCCTTCACCTCTGACGACGCCGTTTTAGATTGGCCCTCGAGCAATTTCTTCAGCATCTCCCCCAGGATGAAAAAATTTTCATACATCTTCTCGTGAATGGCTGAAATTTGACTTTTGACATCTAAAAGTTCGAGTGTGGAGATCTGAAATTTCAGTTTTCCAACACTTCTACCTGTCTTCCTACCATGGGAACCGGATTTAGGCTCCAATAGCAAAAAACAACAAGTTTGAAGCGAATTCTAGCCTCCAATCAACAAAAACAACAATATCGGATATGGAACGCAGCAAAATTGAGCTAGGAAGACTTCTATTTCAGCCAAGGAAATTGCTCTGATAACAATTTGATAGAAAACATTTGTATAAACCTAAAAAATCCAAGCTGAAATATGAGAAAATCATATACATGCAAACAATTTTTGAGAAGAAGGAAGACGAACAACAACGAAACATCTTTTATTTGATGAAAGATGAACAAAAGCAAACAAGATACAATGGATCTGCAATTCGAGAGGAAGATCCGGCTCTCCCAATCCCTAGTCGGCGGCTAGAGCCCAAGTACCTAAGAGAGATCTCAAATTTCACCCAAATTCAAGATGCCCTAACCATAGGAAAACAAATTATTTAATGCATGTAATCCAAAAGGAAATCTCTAAACAACCCCTACTTTTAAATTTTCCTCCTAAACTCCTCCTAAATCCGTCCTAATCAGAGCTTTTTGACTTTGCGGTTTGAGCGGCACAATCAAGAGGCAGAACTTCTTTGCCTCTGTTACATGCGAGCCGGTCTTGTATGGACCAGCTAGACCAGTTCAGTGGACCGGTCTAACATAATGATCAATGAGAACGTGTTAAACAAGTTTAGAGAGGTTGTCAGCCAGTTAAAATACGAATGGAAATAGTATTGAGGATATGCATTGGAATTTGCATTATGAGTTGTAATTGCATGCAGCGCAGCTTAGGATGGAGTCGTTTGAGAATAGTGGGAATGTAGATGCGTCAAAGATTGCAGTGATGGTGACGGATAGAAAGTTGTTGTCAAAGGGGATGAATCTCGAGGATGAAGAGTGAGCAAAGGCGTCCATGAGGATCGAGGTTGAGGGGTTGGACGAAACTTCGCTGATGGCGAAGCATTCGTTGATGAGGGTGGAAGAGATAATGACAATTGGGCGAATGTCAGAGTGCAGGTTGTCAAAATAGGAATTTGAGGGGCCAAATTACTTTTAAATATTGATAGATAAAAGTTATTTTGGTATTTTTTAAAAAAAACAAAACATTTTGTTTTTAAAATAAAAATAAGTGAACAAATATGTTGTCATTTTTCAATGTTTCCAGAAATGAATATATATAACATACAAAATCAGAGGAGCAGGTTTTCTATGAGCTAATTTAGTACCGTTAGAGTGATTGTTACAATGAATGATCGTAGATAGCAGAAGGAATATGGTGAAAACCATAATCCCTGTTACACTAAACCATCAGACTCAACTCCAGCATGTGCACAAGGAGGTTAAAAAAACAGTAAATGAAATGCAGGCCTCCACTAGTGGTAAAAATAGTAAATAGGATCCAATATTTACATTAATAATGCTTACCAAATCAGCAACACCAATAATGAACTTACAAATCAATGGATGGACAATATAGAGAACTAGATGCATACTCAAAAACCAAATTGAGCAAAGAATCAAAAAACTAGTGAACAAATCACATTCTAGGAACCAACATTACAGGCATGTTACATTTAAAAACAAACTAGAAAATAACAAATAAGATAACTATAATAACATCAAAACACGTGATGTCATTATGCTCCCACAATCCTCACATCATCTATTTATAGTGAGTATAAAATTTTATATTTCTACCGTTGTTGGTGAAGGCCAACCACTTGGCATCTCAATACCAATATATTTTCAAGATTAAGCAATGAGATTTCTAGGAAGGATGACAAATAAAACTGGAAAGATAAGAAAGAAATATCTTATAATATCAATAAAGCAGAAGGGCCAAAATACATGTGCAACCCATTTTGCCTATTACTATAGTATTACGCATTTCTCAAGACATAAATAAAATATTAAAAGCAAGTAAATACACATTCTCAACCATTAAAGTTTATCATACATCCTCACCCATGAATTTGTACACGGCATATGCTAGTACTATGTAATGTGGCAAAGACATCAAATCGAATTGACCAAGTTGGCGAAAACTTGAAATCAAATATTACAATTTCACCATGAGCCAAATTTGTAGAGTTAAAAGAAAATGATTTCTTATTGACTTTTGAGCATATTCTGATCTAGTCCATTACATATATATATATCAACTATTTTATTAATGCGTATTTGCTAATTATATATGATATTAATTTTAAATTTTCATAAAAATTTATTCATATGCAGATGTACATTTTTTGCTCAACCAGTAATCACTTTTAACTCAAATTTGTGTGTTACATATCTCATAGATTGAGTCAATCTAAAGTTAAATCAAGTTAATTTGAAGTGAGTAATAGAAACAATCAATTTTGATTTTGAGTTGTTTAAACTTAGGGCAATTATGAAGCAATTGTAATGTTTTGGACATAATTAGTCGTCCTCAATGTGAAGGTGAAGATCTTAAGGATAAGTTTCTATGATCATGGAGGATCATATGAAAAAAAATGACAATTTTGAGCTTGTTGGAAACTCTAAAAAATATGGGATTGAAAGAGGGAAGAAGAGATCCTCAACAAAATGGTTTCAGTTGACTTCACTCATACTGTAATACACTACAATTGGAGATATATATATATATAGGACTACTTAACCTACCTATTAAGCACTTATTACCCATACCTATTTATGAACTCAATGTCTCAAAAAGACCAATTAACCTACCCATTACTTTTATTATATAATGTATAACAGATGCCTAATATTTCAACCCTTGCAAAACTGTCCTTAAGGTCGAACATAATAAAAAGAAACTCCTCCATAGAGTATCAATCCAAGTGAGGAACCCAAGAAGAATCCTGTTATGGCATATAAATGCAAACGTTAGAGAGCAGCCATCAAACCACGCATCAAGCCGATGATCCATGCTAGTGATGAGAGAAGTAGCAACCATTCATACACCTGGTACTTTGCGTCATGCAACTGTCACAGTAATTGGGATCATCATGAGCATGCTAGAAATGTCATATAGACAAAATACAAATGAGATATATTTGACAGGCTGATCAAGGGTTAATGATGAGATTGCTGGTTTAACCATGGAGCCGGGAGGATGCATCGATGTTCGTTGGAATCACACAAGGAGTGCAAGTAGGTGCTTGTCATTCCTGAGAGATTGCGGATATAGTTGGAAATGGAAATTTGTCGTAGAGGAGTTGTTAGATCTTGACTTGGTTTGTCAAATTGGCATGATAGTGACAGACATCGGAAAGGAGCACCAATGATGGGATTGGCAAAAGTAGATGTTGATTGTAACAAACAAAAAGGGATCCAACAGCAAATATATGATAATAGTGATTGGGATATTTTGATATGAGATTTGTGCGAAGGTTAGTGACGTAAGCAAGAGATGCGGCGGAAGTTAACTTCCTAGAGTTGATATATTTTCAAAGATCTAAAGTTCAATGGGAGAAAAAAGTGAATATATCTAACGTGACTGTGAAACAGGAATTTGGGAATCTGAATTCATTGATTTCTAGATGGTGCAACGTCAGAGAGTGAAGATCTAAGATGCCACAAGGAGCGATAAACAATGATGGGACAAAGGAGATCTGGACGATGGATGAAGACTTAGAACTAGCACAAGATGGCCGAGGTTTGGTTAGATCTGGTGAATGGCATAGTTTGGTGTGGCGAGATCTGGATGGGATTGGCATCATAAGGAAAGAGATGCGGACGAATGGTAGAAGTCTGTTCTAGAAATAGCACCTTGACTGTGTGGAAAAAGATGTCTGCTAGTTTTTTATGTGCCGGGCATGATCTGGATGATGTGGTATGGACGCCGGAATTGACGAAGGAATTGACCAAGAAAGAAACCGTTAGTGTGGCAGATAGGGACCTAGGTATCTGATTGGCAGGAAATTCAAGTGATGATAATGAGAGGTGCTGATTGACAAGCACCTAATGGCGAGGCTCAATAAGAGCACCAATTGTTATGACATCGAAGAATCATAAAGTATAAACAACTTTTTTCAGCTCACCATAAATGCCCAAAATGAATGATTAAGCAAAGGGAATAAAAGATTATTAGTATGGAGGGATTTAGTTGATCTTATTCATAACCTAATACGCTCCAAAGGGAGACGTATATTGCAATACAAGACACTTTATGACTTCTTAAGCTAACTATCAAGCACTTAATGCCATAAAAATCTATAAACTCAAAGACTCACAAAAACCTATTAACCTACACATCACATTTATTAAATAACATAATCTATAATAAAAGCCTATTCAAGGCAATAAAACAAATTGAAATGCTTTGCATATACTTAATCCAGAACACTGGTATGCTGGAAAGCTAAAATTAATTAAAAGATTTGAAAAAAAAAGAGGCAACACAAAGTAAGCTGAGCTAGTAACACTTGAAAAATATTTAGATACATGCAATGCGACATTTAATGAACTTCAGAAGTTAAATGTCTATGCATGGTTCAACATTTCCACACTTACTGATTCTGTATCCAGCTATTTATAAATTTGCAATTATTAGGTGAACAAAAACAAATAGCTTTAATAGATATCAAAGAAGAACATAAATTTCTGATATTTCATAAGTAAATCATCTGATAAATTGTAAATCAAGCGTACCTCCTTGAGTCCAGAACGCCAAGGCGGCAGGTTATTATCTGATCTCATCAAAGAAAGTGGCTTCGGCAGACCATACTGCAAAGATTCAAAATATCCATAGAGATGTAACCAAAAACATATGATAGAAATAATCATGGTTATAAGTCTCAAGTCAGACCCACTGAAAACACAGAAAGTTTGCAAGAGTGATTTAAAAATAAACACAGAAAGGAAAAAAAAAAAGATTTCATGATTAGTGCGACTTCAAGGACTTCAATCAAAGAGTGCACATTCAAATATTTAATTTCCATGGTTCTCCCGAAAATGCTACAAATTCCCCACACAAGCTTCACCTTAAAGGTTCCCTACAGGTCAACTCCTCAAAATTATACACAAATTAAGCATTTCAGAAGGCGAACCATAAAGCACAGGTTAAGATACATGGGAACATTGTTATCCTCCGGAAAGTCCTATCAAGAACAATCATGTTACTGAACATAATTAAAATAATTGCCAAGCATATTTATAGATGTTAGATTCAGACTTGTCTCTAATGGCACCTAAACACTGGCTATCTATATATTAATCTCTACATCATCATAGTTATTAGCTTTATCCTAATATATGGGATTGGATTCAAGAATCTTCCCTCTCATCAATCCTTTTGGTAGGAGACTCATGAAATGGTAAATTTTTATTTCATGAACCTTCTTTCTCCCTTCACTCCTGTCGATTACTAGATGAGATTCAAACTCTAACTTGAGCAATTCTTTTTAAAAATATACTCATTTTACTTCTGTTCTACCCCATTTGTTGTAACAGGAGCACAAAAGACTCAATGTTGAAGCATCATCAGAATCGAGAAATAAGACGCAAGCTATCACAAAAAGACACCAAGATTTAAATTGAAAGAAATTTGGTTACATGATGAAGCAAAAAAACAAAGTTTAGCAGGGCCAGAAGTAGTGGATCATGGGATTTGTGAAGCTTTGTGGATCCAAATTTGATGGAAGAATTGAAAATTGCTTGTTCAACACCAAGTCAAAAAAAATGGCAATAGCAATTGCTCAAAATCCTATCCTTCAAGAAAAACATGTGAAAGCTGTCAAATATTTTATAAAAGAAAAAAATTTGAGAAATGACTGATTTAAATTTCTCATATGCTTACTACTGAACAAAGTGCGAATATTCATACAAAAGAATTACATAAGAGGCAATTTAACGACTTAACAGGCAAGCAGCTATGGAGAATATTTTTAGCTAGCTTGAGGGGGAGTGTTCGAAAAATGAGCATGAATTTCAAGAATTCAAAAACCTTTCAAGTCTGGAAAGATTTTCTATTATTTGGTTAAGACTTGCAAGGAATGCATTTATTTCACCAGCCAATCCTCCAAATAATTCAATAAGTAGGAGACCCAACGATGCTATATTTGGAATGATTTTATTATCTATATTTTGTTCAGGTGGTCCTTCTTATGACCAATAGTTTTTTTTTTTTTTTTGGAAGATGCTTAATGTTTTGTTATTATTTGAACATTACAATCTACCTAAGACAATCCTTGTTTTTTTTTTGGGAGAGTAATCGTTTAGTACTATTTATTTCATAACTGCATGCGTTTAACAGAAAGTATTTTACATTTATTTCTTTTTTATTGTGCATATAAGTTGTTAACTATAAGAATAGGTATTATATACAAATGAAAATAAAAAATTGAAAACTCTTTTCTTTCCCATTTCTTCTATTTTTATAACTTCAAAAGAGGATAGGCATTCCAAATTCAAAAAAATTAAGCATTTTACATTCTAAGCCATCGACTTCTCAATTTACTCCTAAGGGCCATCTCCACTTCCTTTCCCAAAAGGCCTTTTAAAAAGTAAAACAAAAGCCTCAAGTTACTTTTGTCATTTATTCTCATGAGATCACTAATTTCATCCCCTATTCCAATCATTATTTTATAATCCCCTGTAGACTAAATTTGTTGATCTTCCGAGCAAACTCCCAAATAATCTCCCTCTATGGGATCTTCAACATGCTATTGATTTAATTCCATGTCCCAACTTCCCAACCATCTGCATCATTTGAATGAATCCTAAAAATCATGCTTGACTTAAATGCCAAATTGACGATTTAGTTTATAAGGACTTCCTAAGGAAAAGCTTCTAATACAAAGAAAAATGGTTCTTCGCAAATGTGCTTCAGCAATCGAACGGTCAACAAAAAATAACTATAAAACGTAACTTTCATATCCCTTGATTGATGATGTTTTATATCATCTATATTCTCAAAAATATAATTATGAAGTAGCTATCAACAAATTTACCCCTAACTATATAATGAAGGTAAAACATCCTTCAAAATTGTTGATGGTCTTTATGAATGGCTTGCATTCCATTTGATCTTTCAAATTCCGTATACTTTATGTGCATCATGAAACATGTAATTTAACCTTCACAAGTGTACACCCAAATATCTAGAACAATCCTGTTCAAACTAAGTTGACCCGATTCAAGTTAAATCAAGTCAACTCAAGCCAAGTAACTCGGTGTACTTGGTCTCATACTCACTAGCCTACAAGAAAACTTGCCTCAAGCAAGCGACAATTTCAAAAGAACTCGACCTAGTTGGCGAGTAAAGTTTATTAGTTGACCCCAACAATTACTATCTATAAGGACAACCCTAATGATTATTCAAGGAGGGGCAACTTTAAAAAAAAAAAACTATTGATCGGCAACTCAATTACTCGGCTACTCAATAAATAACTAAATCAAGTTAGACTTTCCAATCATGCCACACAATTACCGTATTCTCACTTATTTTATGTATAGCTATGTATATGGTTAATTTTGTAATGCTCAATCCCCAATTCAAATCTGAAATAGAAGATCAAGCGGTGATTTCAGTTTATGTAACTTTCTGTAATTGAGCACATTTTACCAAATTCTCGTAACGTTTACTGTAAAATTCTTCTCTCCCTATTTTTTTATATTTCCTTTTTCACTGGATATTCTCAGTATAGTTGAGTGTGAATCACAGACAATTCTAGAGTCAACATCCTAAAAGGTGAGATGAGCATGGAGTAAGTCGCTAACTAGTATAGTACATAAAATAGAATGACATCAAAGAGGGAGAGAAGAATTTGTTAACATAGAAAATCTGGAGTTGGTGATTGCTTGTCAACTTTCAAAATTCAAGGAGAGGATAGCTCAAATGATTTAGGGAGCATCGGTGAGAATGTCAAGAACCATTCTTAAGAGTGGAAAAGCCTTTAAGAATCAACTTAGAATAAGACTTTCTAGAGCTATAGTCTTGGCCACTACTCCACTTGCCGATGAGATATATTAACCTGACAGTTAGGAGTCAACTTCGATTCTCAGTCAAGAAGAGGAGAATTGAAAAGAGGCCCGCACTAGACAATGCCTTCTCATTATGGTGTGTAAGTCAAACGAAAAATAGCATATGTATGTTGAGTTCACCCATTAGAAAACTTTGCTTCTCCCAAGCATAGCTATCTGCTATTGCTTATTGATGACCTAGTCAACTCTACAGTCATTCATTCGAGGATGAGTATCTAAGATACCTTCTCGAGATATCATCAAGCCAAACTACACATAATCAACTACAAGAAGGAACCATTCACCACAAGTGAAGTATTATTTTATTATAACACTATGCCATGTAGTTTAAAAAATACAAATGCTACATACCAAAGGATGATGAATTATATTTTCTAAAATCAAAAGAGGGAAGGTCAAAGTTTGTATTGACAATCTCTTAACTAAAAGCAATACTTCATAGCAATATGTTGAAAATCTCAAAGAAATTTTTTCGAAAAAATAAAAGTATGACATGAAGTTGAACCCTCTAAAATATATCATTGGAGCCGGATCAAGCAAGTCTTGGGCTTTTTTACTAACTCAAGAATGCATCAAAATAAATCTAGAGAAAGTTAAAGCAGTTTTTGAAATGCCCTCATCTCAAAACACAACATAGTGGCATAGGTTACAAGGCAAATCGCTAGACTTTGTCGGTTCCTATAAAAGTTAGACAACAAGTGCTAGCCTTCTTTAAAGTTTTGAGAAGTGTTAAACACTTCACCTTGTATGAAAAATGTGAACTTGTCTTTAAATAATTGAAGTCTGTCCTCTCTTTGTTGCCCCGACATCAAAGTCCGCAATTGATGAATGACTTGCTCGAGTATCATAGAGTTAGCAAACATGTGGTGAGCTCAGTGCACGTCGCAAAGAAAGGAAGAAGCAATAACCGATCTATTAGGAGAGCAAAATTCTACATGAGGCCAATTCGCACTATCCGAAAAGCTACCTTAGGCTTTGATTAGCTTTGCACGGCGACTTCTTCTTTACTTCAAGGCGCATTCGATTCTTGTTGTAGCTAACCATCCATTGAAGTCGGTCCTTGCAAAGCCAGACTACTCTGTGCAACTACTCAACTCGGTGGGTCAACGAGTTCCAAATTTTATACGAGCCAAAGACCGCCATCAAGGCATGGGCGCACACAAATTTACTGGCCAATTTCAATGTAGTTAGCGTTGAAGGAAAGGTGATTATCAAGAAAGACATGCAGTGGCGGTTTATAATTTATATTGATAGGGCCTCTTGTGTAGGAGTGTCGACATTAAAGTTGTTTTGAAGAGTCCAGCAGGAACAATATTTTCTCATGTTGTCAAAATTGATTTTCAGATAATCAGTAATCAAGCCAAGTATAAGGCACTAATCATTGACACATTTGTTCAAAGAGTGAGAGTGAAGCACTTCATACTCTTTAACTTCATACTCGTCCTTCATAGCGGCCATGAATGACTTCAATTGGCTTATTTCAATAGACAATTGTTCATCTCTTTTCAAGAGCACCGCTTCAATAAGTTCCTCGAGGTAACGAAGTTTGTACTATGAATATCCTGGGAATATTCTTTAAGAGTTGAAATTAGCATCTTCCCTTTATCAGTAATAAGCCCAGTAAATTTCTTCAAGGTTTCTAGCACAAGGCTAACTAAATTCGAGAATATTTTCTGATCCTTCTCTACAGCCAACCCAGCCAAAGGGAAGGCTAGAAAAGGAAAGATTCCATTCAAAAAACTTTCCTCAACAAGATCTAACTAAAATTTTATCCAATATGAAGATAAATCATACTTTCAGTTGTAATTTGGCCAAATTCAATACTCAGCCCCTCATAAAATATGTTATTCAGCAGGCACCTTGGCGACTTCAAGTGCCACTATTTCAATAGGTGTCTGGACAACTTCAGACTCACTTATTGTAGCTAGAGGTTGAACAACTTCGAGATCCTCAACCTCCATGGGTGGTTCTGCAACGCCAATCTCTGACAAAACCACTACTTAGTCGACTTCAACTCTCATCAAAAAGTTCTTGGCGAATGGGAGGTTCGGCACTGGGCATCATACCTAAGAGCTTGCTCATTGAGGAAAGAACTGCATTAAAAGTGGCTCATTAAAATTAAATTTGTATAATTTATTAAGATAAATTTGTGTTAAAATGTTTTCAATTTTTTACCTATTCTCCGAATTTCAACATCATCTTGAGGAAAAATAGACATAGCCGAGTAGCATCTCTTTCCATAGCAGCAAGAGAAGAAAAATGTTGATCGACCAAAGATTTTGACGAAGCACTGAGCTCTCGAATCTCGCCTTTGGCCTTTGTCTCCTCAATATTTATCCTTTTCTTCTTATTCGTATAGTCAGAAGAACTTCCCGCTTTTCTATGCTTGTCAAATAGGTTAGCGATAGTATCCTCCTTTAAGATATTAATATTGTCATTTGGAACCTCCATTCTCATAAGAGACAAAAGGACGGAGCTCAAAGATAATAAAGAGAGGAAGCAAATCAAAGAAAAGTACAAATATTAAAACCTTAAGACAATATTAGGGGCTTAGATTTACAAAATATAACCAATTACATTGCTGTGGATACTAAAAAAAGGTTGGAAATGTGAAAAAAAAAAAGCATAATATACACTAATTTTGAGAGAATATTTGCATCACCTATAGGAAAATTGTAGTGCAAGAACGTTTGGAATGTATGGGAAAAAAAATACCTGTTCAAAGTTGCTCCAAACATTACAGTCCGGACCACGGCCATCACGTACCACCCTTATGTCAATATCTGCACCCTGATCAAATTCAATTAGAATCCTTGAAACTCCAAAAACTAAATATACAAAAATAATTTCGATGCCAATAAAAAAAAAAACCTTGGTGATGTTGAAAATAAGGTCAAATAGATACAAACCATAGTCATTGCTCCAAAATGTGCAGCAGCAACAAGAATGCTCCCAGTTCCAACAAAGGGATCATAGATGAGTTTCCCTGGTCGTGCCAAACCTTGATTTGCCATTAGGAAGGCAATCTCAGCATCCATGGCAGTAGGTCCTATGTATTTTCGACTTTTTAACTGATAGGTTGGTAGGAGTTTTCTATCTGCAGCTCCAACTTCCCGGCCAAAAAAAATTCTTCTTTCTACAACAGGTGGAAGACCGTTGTTTTCTCCATAGTCATCAATTTCCATGAGCCAGAATTTATGATCAGGATTACGTAAATCAACTCGACCCTTTATGGTGACAGAATTTCAGAAAGCAAGTGTAAAATAAGTTGAAAATTTCTAATGGACTCGAGCAACTATAAAAACTGTACATAGAAGTTCCAAGTTATAAAACAGCTGAGGCTTAAGTATGTTACAGGTTTACAGGCATGGTTAAAAACCTAGAATTGCTATGGATAACCATAAATTTTCAGAAATAATAAATCACGAATTGAGTGAATATAATTATTCAAAAACAAAACATTTGCTTTAGAAGAAAAAAAGAGTATAGGTAACATTAAATAACATCATCCTTAGCATTATCCCAACTATCTGAGGTTAATTTTATGAAACATCATTCTTCATTCAATTTTGTAAAGTGTTTATATGGTGCAGTTTCCAAAAATCATACAATCGTTTGATTCCTCCCAAAATGATTTTAATTGTATTTCTCCGAATTTAGTGAACTTCTGCCACGTAATTTTTTATATGTTATAGTACTGATTATTCGGGACAATTTGATAGGTTGATTTTATAATTTCAAAGGTTAAAATTATAATTATTGTATTTTGTTTGATTTAATAAGAATAGTGATTTTGATATTTTAATCATTTTGGCCTCCAATTATGGTCCCTCCAACCTCAATCGTCCAACTACGGTCTCTAACCTCCGTCGCACGACTACGGTCCCTTCGACCAGCGTCGTATGACTATGGTCATTCCGACCTCAGTCGCTGGTCAACTATGATCCTCGAACCACAGTCACCCGACTACAACCCTTCCAAGTCCAACCTTAGTCGCTTCCTAACTACAATCCCTCTGATGTATGTTGTCTGATTACAGTCCCTTCGACCATAGTTGATTGCCTACTATAGTCCCTCCGACCACCGACACTCGACTACGGTTCTACCAACCAAATGAACAGACTAAAGTTCTCTTTAGAACAACTCATGTCATTAGATTCTTCCAAGTACAACTGTGTAATGTGCTTTATACAATTATGTTTGCTACATTAAGCCAATGTCTTTCCCAATGGAATGACATCATTTATAATCAACGACAAACACAAGTGAAATTATTTCAAATGGGCAATGCCTCGTTATTTTTTTGCTTTTCAAAGTTTTACATGTAAAAATTCTAGTATCCCTTATGATTGTTGCACTCTTCTCTCTTATCTATGTATGATAGATCTTCGTATAAAACTAAGATATTAAACTCACAATCTATCTACCGCCGTAAATGTTTCAACACACAGTATATATATATATATATATATATATATATATATATATATGAAATTTTAGTGAGTATGAAATTAATAGCTATCAAACAAGCGAGCAAGTGATACCTAATTGTGGTTGAAGAACATCATAGAGACTAAAATATAAATATTAGAAAATTAGAATTAAATCAATCATGCTATGTGAATCAAGTTGTCAAAGTATAAAGTAGCCACTAATATCCAAGCAAAGTGTGATTGAAATGGGAATGTTAAGATTGAAATGAGAATGTTAAGATTGAAATGAGAAAGATAAGATGAATATGTTATATAAAATCAATGGATAAATTGAAAAAACGCTTTATTCTAAAAATTGTTGGAGGTGGAAGTGAAAATAAATTAAGGTAATTTAGAGATACACAAAAGAAGGAAAATGGTGTGCCAAAGAAACAAATAAATAAAAACAATATGAAAGAATTAGAAAAGTAAAGAGGAAGGCCAAAGGTCATATGCAAAAAAGAGTCAATACTTCATACAATACACAAAAAAGAATGAATGGAACATAAGGATTCATAAAGCCAGATACAAAAGTTTGATCTAATGATGACGATGAACAAACGAATGGAGATGAGAAACTTCAGCAAAAAGCCGTATTGTCGTACAAATAATTCAAGGGACAAATTTAACATGCTCCCGTAAAAAAGGCTAGCAAGTAGCAACACTTTTCTAGAAATTTCTACAATCTGAAGACAAATTTCCAATAGTTTTCTCTAGTCAGTATTTATAACTGATGGCTCAAGAAATAGCTTAACAGACCTTGAACGGAATGTAACTGAGTCCACGGATGCGCTCATTTTGTTCTTGAAAGCTGATCACTTTGCCAAAATTGTCTACTGTAATGCGAAATGAGCTTTCGGGTTTCAAATATGGCAACTTTCTCTCATCAGGGAAACCTCTAATAGCCTTTTCTAAATCATCATCGGTAATGCCCTCTCCCCATAATTCATAAATCCCCTTGACAAGCATACCTATAAATGTGCCAAAGATAAAATGACAATAATTGCAAGACTTGATAAATGATCATTCAAATACCTGTGAATAAAAAAAGTGGAGAATTTCGCAATAGCACAAATCTAAAGAAATTTGAAATTGTAATAACATGGTACATCAAATAGGATTATTGTTGAGGGCATGAATTCACCAACAGGTAAATGTACCCACACAAATAACAAGATGACTTGATTTTAAAAATCTAATAGTATAGCAATGGATTTAAACTGGTTTTAAGTTCTGCAGCGATAAAAAACTTTGTATTAACCTACTTTTTTTGTAATTTTGACAGATATAGCTGCTTTATTCAAGAGAAAGTTTTAGCATATTATACTTGATTTATTTTTGTAGTTCTAACAGAAATATATGCTCTCCACTTCTATTTTCTCATTGGTTTGAATTTCATTAAGCACTAAATATCAACAAGCTTTATTTTATATAATGTATTTGTTTTGATAGTGTGTTTTATATGATGTATTTGTTTTGATAGTGTGCTTTTGTAGTTCTAATAGAACCATTGAAGTCTTTCTATGAACACAAAAGATAATTTTTCAAATGTTGTACCAAATGAAGAGAAATGCAACAGGTAAGCTTCATTTGAAAATATATTCATATTGATTAATCTTATTTTCATTTTGCATAGACAACTGCTTTTATTATAAATCTAATTTTATTTTAATTTCTGCCTTTAATATAATGAATTTGTTCATGAACAAGAGACATTTCACGTTTGTCCATGTTTGTTAGATTGTTTTTTATTTTATTTTCATGAACAAATATAAAATGAATCAAAGATCACTTATTCGTGAACGAACTCATTTGGTGGCTCAAAAAAACTAGTTATATATGTTCATGAACTTGCTCATTTGATAGCTCGAGAATAATCATTAGATATGTTCATGAACGTGCTTGTTTGATAGTTTAAAAAAATTCGCTAAATATGTTCACGAACATGCTCAATGTTATTGTTTGTTAGAATGCTCGATAAAGCTCATTTATTAAGTTAATGAACATCTAGAAGTACAACTCGTTTATAGCTCGTTAAGGCTTGCTTGTTTAAAACTCAATAAAAACTAAACGAACCTAACATTAACCAAACATGAACACTCATTAATTTAAACAAACCAAACATGAACACAAACAATAAAGCACGAATCAAACACTAACCAAACTTGAACAAGCTGATAATAAATGAACTCAAACATGAACACTCACATACTCGGCTTAGCTTGGCTCAGTTCGTTTGCAACCCTAACCCTAAGGCATATGGCAGTCGGGCCATGCATATACGTTCGAATGTGATCTTTAATTTGATTAAGTTAATATAAAAATATAAAAAATTTGTAATTTAAAAAAATATATCATCAAAAATTAGGAACGTGTGTCCATTTAAATGTAAATATTATTTTAATCGGATACTTGTTTGTTGTGTCCGACACATGCCCCATCCATGTCGGGCAGGTGTCCTTGTCCAACACTGCATTCCCTCTTGAAGAGGTGTGTATGTGCATCATAGGTCCCGGATGGGGCTATCAAGCATATCATAAAGCAAATAAATGCAGCAATCATCATAACGTGCAGGAAAAAAAATCAACTTGACCATTGTACGTCATTATATAACAATCCCAAAGAGAATCATAGAAAATATCAGTGCAAGTGAACCAAATATCTAATATTTAAAACTAAACAGGACTTATTATGCTTAAAATTCCAATCTCCGAATTAAATAGGATGCATTATACCCAAAATTTTCAAATATAGCTTAAACAGAATGCATTATTAGATAAATACTCCTTGAAAAAGGGAAGAGCCATAGGCTAAAATATTAATCTTCATTAAAATGAAAAACATTAATATGAAATGACCTAACACAAAAAAAGAACATCTCCCACCAAGAATGCAAGAATAACAATAAAAGTGAAACAAAGTTAAAAATCTTGACAATGGGAAATACAATAATAGGATAAAACTGGATAAAAACAGCGCAACAGATTAAACGCAGGAATGCTCACTTCGTCTGGCGATGTTCCTAGCCACATCCTCGGATGGTAGGTTAACGAAGTGGAAGGGAGAGTCGATGTGGTGGTTCTGAGGAAGATTCCACTCCAACGAAAGAGGCCGCACTGGACTTCCATCTTCCATCGGCTCGAAAGCTCCAAAGAGCTCCGCCAGGGACTCAACCTCCGGCCGGCGATAGTCCAGCAGCCGGTGGAAGAATACGCACAAGAACCACATCTCGCTCCTTCCTCCTTTTTCTTCTCCAAGCAGCTTCTACAAAAGGTATCAGAGCAGTAAAAGTGCGGTGAAAACAAAACCCCGGCAGTGCAAGTTGTTCCAGGCTGCCTATGCTGAAAGCCTTCTGGGCCGCGCGGTCGAAGACCCCGGAGAGATATTACTCCCAAATAAAATTTGCGCACGTTCTTTATTTGGAATAATGATTGTTTTATCATTCTTAGGAAGTTTAACCTATCTTTTACTATAATCCGAAGTTTAACCATTTTTAAATACTAAAATGGAAATTTACATATCCTTTTATATCATCCTATTTATATATCTAATATTTAAAATTTAATATTTATATTATGTTAACATCAAATATGTAATTTATATTTCATTATTACCATTTATATATTCATTAATGGCATCCATATTTAATATTGTTTGTGTGCTTACGTTTCATAGATTTTTTCAACTTTTTTGATGTAAAATAACGATGTAGAGCAATGATCTAACAAATAATCTCGAGAAGCTACTGAGTGAAAAGGCTTAATAGTGTCATCATTTATTTAAAAATCTCATAAGGCTAAAAGCCATGAAAATATATATATATATATATTTCTTCAAATCATCAAAGCTAAAAGCTACAAAAGGAATGAATCCCTCTAATTAGGTAAATGGGGGTAAATTCACAAATAAAATATATTTTTACATAAAAATGGGGCCTTTCTTGCATTAAAAGCAAACATCAAACTTATATGGACTTCTCAAAGTCATATACAATATCATTGGATTTACATGAGATCGACATAGCATTCAATCAAGTTATATGAACGTCTCAAAGTCATATACAATATCATTGGATTTACATGAGATCGTTATAGCATTCAATCAAGTTGTTCGCTATCTATTCTCATCAGCATGCCTGCAAATTATCTCCAACAAAATACAACTTAACCACCAATCATCACTAGAAATTCATCCATCCATCCATTGATTATCATCAAATCTCCTTCTAATCATTATTGCAATGGGATCTCCTCTATGTTGCTGCCATCGTCATGACGATTCTAAACTGTTTGGGAAAAGTTTGGATTGGCACTAGAGAGTCATACTCTATTTGCCACAAACATTCACCAATATATTGATCTGGTATTAAAGGCCCAATTCTTAACTGGATAATGACGGTCTTTCGACTCCTTCGAGACCGTCTTCAGAGGAAGATAGGAGCCTACGTAGAATGATCAAGCCTTTTATCAGAGATTGACGGCCTTACGACTCCTTTAGGATGGTCTGTTTGTGAGTCCAAATATTGTGTTCCTTAATTCTTAAAAAAAATGAGAGAATTTTTGTGATGATATTCCAAATTAACAAAAAAAGAAGATTTGCTGTTACTTTTATTAATAAAAAATAAAGAACCATCCATTTAATTGTCAGCTGATTCTTAGAATCCAAATGGTTGTTTGAAGTTAATAAAAATATGTATTTCAACATAATAAAACTTGTCAAATAATGTACTTGTGCCCATAGAAGAGTGAACTTAGGCCCTATGTTAATCTATATAAAGTTCAGTGAGTAAAGCAAATAAGTAGTTGATAAATCATGTCAAAATATCTAAGGTGTTCTAAGAATCTCAAGTGTTCTAGGAATTGTGCTGATAACATTGATATAAATGAGTTGATATAACCATCAAATAAATATACAACGAATTTCATGTAACTATGATATAACATTATCTGCAAGCATTACAAGCATTTAAACAAGTCGATCAACCACTAAAATTCTTACAAGCTTCAGATCTTCCATGCTCCAATGTAAACACAATTGAACATATCCAATCCACCAAACTACTTGTAGGATCTTCTTGAGGAATAAGATATTTCTCTTCAAGCTTCTTGGAAGAGAGAGGGAGAGGGAGAGAAGGGGCGAGGGAGAGAGCCAAATCAGACAATCTTATTGCTTTTCTATATTAGATACTGATGGTAGCACAAAAAACTACAAAAAAAAACCTAAACTAAAAGAAAGAATCTTATTATTCTTTTAGTTTAGATTCTAATGTATTTTTTTGTGCTATTGTTAGTATCTATATATAGATTCTATCGTTTGTAATAAAGCATCTATTTTAAAAAAGTAATAAGATTGTTCTCTTTTGGCTCTCTCTCTCACCCCTCTCTCCCTTTCCCTCTCTCTCCCAAGAAGCACAAGACAAACTTTTTCCTCAAGAAGATCCGAAGTCACCTAAATTATTTGACCAGCATTACTTCTCTGCAATATAAATCAGCTGTGAAGGCTATGTTCTGTGATTTTAATGCAATAAATAGTTATCACCATGGGAGAGCGCCTGGATAAATAGCGGGGCCACAGTAGCTGAACAAGCTTTTCAGTTCAGGGCATCCTCCAGGATAGGGAACAGACCGATGAAATGGATCCCTTTTAAGTCTCTTGTCTTGAAGGGAACCTGTACAGCCATAAGGATCGACCTGGAACTGAGCTCTGACAATGGCTTCCCCCGCCATGGCTGCATCCTTTGAATCAGGAGTAGTTGGGGTGCCAACGAAGAAAAATCTTTCTTCTGGGAATCTGATTGAAGATCGGTGCAGGTCAGAAAACCTCTCTTTTTTGAAATCATAGCTGACAACCTGATATCAGAAAATTGAAAACACAAATTATTTTCCTTGTTGATACCAGAACATTAGATAACAGCAAAAACTATGATAAGAATCAATATGATTTTTGCTATGGTAAAATCTCAATTGTGAAATATTAAAATTTTTAGAGGATTTGGCATGACAACTTTGAATCTTGTTAAATCGTGCTAAATTGTTTGTTATTTCAGATTTATGATTTACGAGAGAGAAATATATAAATTCATTATACTCTATGAATTATGAAATTTAACCAAAACGGGGAGGGGATCAAGTGAGATTTATCAAAATAATAGGATTTAGAATTCTCAAATGTATATTTAGCGTAATTTAATCTTAATCTCACTTAAATCTTACCTAAAATAGGATAACAAACAATCCCAAAGACTCAATACTAGAAGAAGTTGATCTTATTCAGGATAGATGGGAAAATTAACTGGGCCGTCTCTTGAGTACCAACTAAGGGTTTATTAGAGGTAACTTTTACACTGCTCTGTTTTTCAGATCATTGCCACAATTCTATTTGTCATAACTTTCTTGTTGCTTTATAAAAATTGCAACAAAAATTTGATGAGAAGTAGCTTTTAACAATAATATCTTCAAGGATGAGCGGAACTAGAAAGAACTCAAAGTGGGCAACTGTCAACCCTGAAATCTTTTTTGTTATTAGAAGAATATGCATTTTAACTATTGTGTCAACCTTCAATAAATGCACTTGCCCAAATTCTAACAAAAAAAAATCATCTTTCAATTTCATATATAAGATTGTGCATTTCACAATTCTATTTTGCCTATCCTTGAAAAAGAGATTAGTTCTGCCCCTGTCTACAAGAGTGTGGTAGTTTTAAGAAAGTTAAAATTCTACATTTTCAAAATTTCTAAAAAAAATCTATAATAAAATTAACCCAAACAAATCCTATGCCACATATGGAATAAAACTTTTGTTGTCGATTGAGAAAAACATGAGCAACAGATGATGGAGACTTGTTAAGATGACATTGCATTCTCTGCAGAGCCATCATAAAAAGAAAAGAAAAAGCTTAAAAGGTGTTTTTTACTTGCATAACAACTTTTTTTTCAAAACAATTCTATTTACATATTTCACACACAAACTTCACTTTTTACTATTGCATCACCTAAAAGTCCTAACACTCCCCAAATGCAACATTGTTTGCTCCCGTTAAAAAAAAAAAAAGCAGCTACTTTCCCTTGCAACACCTCTTCGCCAGCTCTGTTTCACAAAAAAGGGCGTTGTGTCGATCCCATGGAAGAGAGAGAGGGGAGCCACTCCAATATCCATTTTTACTTTTCATCTTCTTCCTTCTCTATATTTTTTTTTCTTTCTAATCTTCATAGATTACATAACTTATCATCTAGCAGTTGAATCCCATTCGGCACACACTGATCATTTTCTCCATCCGATGAAAATGTTCTTCCTGAAGTTCGTGAAAAAATACTCGTTAGACGTGCAAATTAGTTGCTAACTGTCATTATGCAGCTCCAATCCGTGAAATAAATGATTTTGCTAACTGTGGTTATGAAGCAATTGCTTCTATTGTTTGCAATTAGTTGCATAGAAATCCAGTGAATTATATGAATTTTTTTCTACTATTGTTTTGTCTTAACTCAACAACATGATGACAATTATTCCTTAATTTTTTATGCACATGTTTTTTCCTTAATTTTTGCTGCTACTATTTCTTAGAGCAAATGAGATTGAATCAAGCATCCCCAGAATTTGCAAAGAGAGAAACTCATCAACACAGGTTAAAAAAATGATTTCGTCGGGGAAACGGAAAAATTAAGGCACCTTCATAGCGTGTCAAATGCTCTTATTTTTGTTTGGAAGAAACTCTATCGTTGTAAGCTTCAAGATTCTTTTTGTATTTAGCTGCTTGCGTCGTCTTCGATTCACTTTTCTCTTCGTTTAGCGTGATCTCCTTATTGACGCCGCTCTTCATAATAGGGTCCATCGGAGGGCCACAGTTGGTGGCAGCGGCTTGGAGGAATGTCCGATCGTCAATTGGGGAATTCCGATGGTGGAATCGGCGGCAACGGGGAGGTTGAAGGAGGTGGAAGTGGATCAGAGATGGCACCTCGATGGTCCGAAGAAGTAGAAAGTGGACGGGTGAATTCGTCGACCAGAAGAGCTGATGGTAGAACTGGTTTCTAACGTGAAGCAAACGGAGTGTTGTATTTGGTGAGTGTTATGACTTTTAGGTGGTATAACAGTAAAAATTGAAGTTTGGGTGTGAGATGTGTAAATACAAATGTTTGGAGTGTTATGTATGTAAAAATCCCTATATATTATGGGGCAATATATGTTTTAAAGGATTCATGTCATGATTATTCGACCTGGCTGTCGACTACCTAATGCAATCCTCTACTTTTCTCATCCAGGATTTGGGACCTAGCAACGACAATGTTAGGCAATATATATTTTGCTAAGCTTAATTTTTCAACAGAGAAATATGTCATAAAGGCAAATATAACAAAACTTTATTCACCTTCAAGGCACATCAAGTTCTCAAACAAGCCCAAATATTTTAACGCGAAATTTGTAAAATGGGCAGCAATGGTTTGTGTGTTTTTTGTGTTGTTTCACACATATTCACTTAGAATGCATTCTTAAAAAATTCATATGTCGAATGTTAAAAAAAATACATGCTTATGTAAATCAACTATATAAAATTTTATGTAAAATGATAAATTTTTGGACGTTTATTTATTATCTCAGATGTTATTATTATGCGTTTTTTATCTTTAATATATGTAATGTTTTGTTAATTTTGATGCAATGTACTGCTATGTATGTTTTGTATTGTTGCAATGTTAAAAAAAATACATGCTTATGTAAATCAACTATATAAAATTTTATGTAAAATGATAAATTTTTGGACGTTTATTTATTATCTCAGATGTTATTATTATGCGTTTTTTATCTTTAATATATGTAATGTTTTGTTAATTTTGATGCAATGTACTGCTATGTATGTTTTGTACTGTTGCGAAATAGTTCAAGCTATCTATAAATGATAAGTATATAATATTAAAATTTTAGATTTTGGATATACCAAAACAAAACAAAAAATCAAAATTTTGATTGAAATATAAAGCTCTCTTTGGTTGGTAGAACAGTACATAATTGTCAAAATTTATGCATCATAGCCTAGAATCATTAAAATAAAAAAAAATAAAAATATCTCGGCATGATAACTTATATTTTTTATATTTTTGCAGATACAATCTTTTACTCAGCTCTCTTTGATTTGTTTGTTGGATGCTTTGACCATCAATTAAAAAGTCTTAGCTTCGAGTTATATATATATATATATATATATATATAAAATATGTATTGTTTGTGAGTCCAAATATTGTGTTCCTAAATTCTTGAAAAAAAAATGAGAGAATTTTTGTGATGATATTCCAAATTAACAAAAAAAGAAGATTTGCTGTTAATTTCATTAATAAAAATATAAAGAATCATCTATTTAATTGTCAGCTGATTCTTAGAATCCAAATGGTTGTTTGAAGTTAATAAAAATATGTATTTCAACATAATAAAACTTGTCAAATAATGTACTTGTGCCCATAGAAGAGTGAACTTAGGCCCTATGTTAATCTATATAAAGTTCAGTGAGTAAGGCAAATGAGTAGTTGATAAATCATGTCAAAATATCTAAGGTGTTCTAAGAATCTCAAGTGTTCTAGGAATTGTGCTGATAACATTGATATAAATGAGTTGATATAACCATCAAATAAATATACAACGAATTTCATGTAACTATGATATAATATTATCAGCAAGCATTACAAGCATTTATACAAATCGATCAACCACTAAAATTCTTACAAGCTTCAGATCTTCTATGCTCCAATGTAAACACAATTGAACATATCCAATCCACCAAACTACTTGTAGGATCTTCTTGAGGAATAAGATATTTCTCTTCAAGCTTCTTGGAAGAGAGAGGGAGAGGGAGAGAAGGGGCGAGGGAGAGAGCCAAATCAGACAATCTTATTGCTTTTCTATATTAGATACTGATGGTAGCACAAAAAACTACAAAAAAAAACCTAAACTAAAAGAAAGAATCTTATTATTCTTTTAGTTTAGATTCTAATGTATTTTTTTGTGCTATTGTTAGTATCTATATATAGATTCTATCGTTTGTAATAAAGCATCTATTTTAAAAAAGTAATAAGATTGTTCTCTTTTGGCTCTCTCTCTCACCCCTCTCTCCCTTTCCCTCTCTCTCCCAAGAAGCACAAGACAAACTTTTTCCTCAAGAAGATCCGAAGTCACCTAAATTATTTGACCAGCATTACTTCTCTGCAATATAAATCAGCTGTGAAGGCTATGTTCTGTGATTTTAATGCAATAAATAGTTATCACCATGGGAGAGCGCCTGGATAAATAGCGGGGCCACAGTAGCTGAACAAGCTTTTCAGTTCAGGGCATCCTCCAGGATAGGGAACAGACCGATGAAATGGATCCCTTTTAAGTCTCTTGTCTTGAAGGGAACCTGTACAGCCATAAGGATCGACCTGGAACTGAGCTCTGACAATGGCTTCCCCCGCCATGGCTGCATCCTTTGAATCAGGAGTAGTTGGGGTGCCAACGAAGAAAAATCTTTCTTCTGGGAATCTGATTGAAGATCGGTGCAGGTCAGAAAACCTCTCTTTTTTGAAATCATAGCTGACAACCTGATATCAGAAAATTGAAAACACAAATTATTTTCCTTGTTGATACCAGAACATTAGATAACAGCAAAAACTATGATAAGAATCAATATGATTTTTGCTATGGTAAAATCTCAATTGTGAAATATTAAAATTTTTAGAGGATTTGGCATGACAACTTTGAATCTTGTTAAATCGTGCTAAATTGTTTGTTATTTCAGATTTATGATTTACGAGAGAGAAATATCTAAATTCATTATACTCTATGAATTATGAAATTTAACCAAAACGGGGAGGGGATCAAGTGAGATTTATCAAAATAATAGGATTTAGAATTCTCAAATGTATATTTAGCGTAATTTAATCTTAATCTCACTTAAATCTTACCTAAAATAGGATAACAAACAATCCCAAAGACTCAATACTAGAAGAAGTTGATCTTATTCAGGATAGATGGGAAAATTAACTGGGCCGTCTCTTGAGTACCAACTAAGGGTTTATTAGAGGTAACTTTTACACTGCTCTGTTTTTCAGATCATTGCCACAATTCTATTTGTCATAACTTTCTTGTTGCTTTATAAAAATTGCAACAAAAATTTGATGAGAAGTAGCTTTTAACAATAATATCTTCAAGGATGAGCGGAACTAGAAAGAACTCAAAGTGGGCAACTGTCAACCCGGAAATCTTTTTTGTTATTAGAAGAATATGCATTTTAACTATTGTGTCAACCTTCAATAAATGCACTTGCCCAAATTCTAACAAAAAAAAATCATCTTTCAATTTCATATATAAGATTGTGCATTTCACAATTCTATTTTGCCTATCCTTGAAAAAGAGATTAGTTCTGCCCCTGTCTACAAGAGTGTGGTAGTTTTAAGAAAGTTAAAATTCTACATTTTCAAAATTTCTAAAAAAAATCTATAATAAAATTAACCCAAACAAATCCTATGCCACATACACCATCGTACAAAATAGTAAAGGAAAATGCAGATCCTACTTCCAAAGCCCACGTAGCTAGCTTGATGATGATAAACCTAAGTAGGTCTCAAGGTTTTGAATCTTTTGATGTTATGCAATGCTTAGAGCTTCCTTCGGTAGGTTAAGGTCCAATTAAAAACAGAAATGCAATGGGAGTCACCGAAAACTCTAATTATCATAACAGTACGTGTATTCAAGGTAACAACTAGTGGGGAAGTAGAAGTAGAATTAATCATTCGCTGTTGCTTGGAACTATCGAAGGAAACCTTCCAGCAAAGCAATATATTGCCTGAAAAACATCTGCAATTCTGCATATGACTCTTGAAAATGCTTGTGATGTGAATCAAGGTAGGAATTGCGATTAGAAATTAAAATGAAGATTATCCAAAACGTTGACAAAACAAATTTTCTTACCAACAAAATAAAGGATTAAATCGTTCTAGGTAATTAACTTGCTTAGGCGAAGATTTGCTTTGAGATAACCAAACAATTCATAGCATTCTAGGATAAAAGAAACACTTAAATGCTCATAAAAAAAATCCCACAATTAATAATAAATAAGTTCACCTTGAGTACCCTTTTCTCTCTCTCTCTCTCGTTCACTCTTGGGCTTTAGCGGAGACGAAAGAACCATGCGAGGATGGAGAGCACCACTACGATGAAGGCGACGAAAGACTTTGTTGCCGGAAAGGTATTCACCGGAGAAGGTGGTGGCGGATGGCGTCCAATGATCGTACAAGTGTAACCACGAAATTGTCGGTCGAAAATACTTGCGAGGATCGGGACGACTCGCTCCAAGTACTCTTCGATTGTGGCGTCGTCTTCAAATCCCACGTCGAAGCAAGGCGAGCGTAGGATATCAATGCTCCCGTCGGCGTGGAATACTAATCCCCATTCAAGCTCCGGATCCGTCATTCAACATTGAGGAAGGGCGGGAAGAAGACAAGGGAGGGAGGTTGAAGCCGTGAGCTAGATGAAGACCAAAGGAAAATCTGAATTTGAATTTTCAGATTTTCTTATGTTGGAGGGAGAGGTTAATTGCAATAAAAACCTCCAAATTTTCAATTAAAGAGAAGCGGTTATTAAGGGAGAATTAAAAGGGGAATTAGTGGGTGCTTATGTGGCAAGTAGAGAGAGAAAAGAAAATATCATCCAGAATGACTAGCTAAATTACGGTTGCCTTAACCAGGATGCCCTAATTAGGGTTTTTATTTTTGAATGATCGCCCAGGATGATTTTAGATCATCCCGGACGGTGTGATAAAAAAAAAGAAGACACAAAAAAAGACATAATTTTTTTCATGAGCGTGTGTGTTCTGAGCTAGCTTGATTTACAGTTGACCTTGTGGACCTGAATTGCTAGTAGGCAAGGCAGTCATAGAAAAGCAAAAGTAATAGAAATGTTGGCTATCATCAAAATTATTTTTTTTGAAATCAGATTTACAATAATCTCCCCCTTTTTTATGATGGTAAATAAAAATAATTTAAGCAGTTAAATGGAAACATCACAAGGAAAAATAATGTGAATCAAGAAGTTCAAATTTTACTAAAAGATGATTACAATACAACTAACCAACATAAAAGACAAACACAGAACAACTAAAAAACATAAAATAATACAACTACTCCCTCTTTTGACATCACAAAAAGGAGGAGGGAACTACGAAAAGAAACTACCAAATAGAATAAAGTGCATCACATAAAATATAATACAAAAAAATAAACTACAAGTAGGATGACCCCTGATCATCTGAAGGAGGTGGTGGTGGTGGCAAAAAAAATATACAAAATGTAGCAAACTACTCCCTGAACTAGGCCATATCCTGGTCGTGCTGGCATTGCTGGTAAGCCATGTAAGAATCAAATCGAGAAACATCCTCCACATGTTGTTGCTCCTGTGCATAAATGTAGGACTCGAACCATATTTCCATGGTCAAACTGCTCCACCAGCTGGTCCAGCTGAAAGTTCTGGCAGGGTGGAGCAAGTATAAGAATAGGTGTAGGAGCAACCTCCTCCTCTGCTCCCTCAGCTTTCTTGTGCTCCAGGTGGAGATGAGTACTATGAAGAACATGAAAAGAGTTATTGGCGTAGAAGGTAGACTGAAAGTTTGGAGGGGTAGGATATTGAAGGTTGTATTTGGAATCCAAGACATAGGCTATGAGGTGTCTGAGGGCAAGGTTAGGCTTCCTTCTATGTCATGGATCTCTAATTCTCATAAGGTGCTCAATATAGTGGAAAATAAGATCAGTAGCATTGAATTTATGGTGGTCCATGATGTAGAAAGTGGTGATCGAAAGGAGTGGAGTAATGTGGACACAATCACCAGCTTTTAGAATAAGTGAGGTACAAAGGGCATGTTGGATTATCCTAGCATCTTTGAGTAAGATAGTAGACTCCTCAACATGATAAGAGATAGTAGTGTTTCAAAGAAAGTGATTGGCCGCAGCCTAATCATAATCAGGGTCTTGAGACAAGAGGTAAAGCTTGTTTCATATGGTGGATAACTGTATGAGCTCATGAAAATCTTGATACGTGATCTCAACAGGATGCTTATTAACATAAGAATGAAGTGCAGTGAAGGAGGAGTTGATTCGAAGGCTAGCAAAAAAATTAAAAAGTAGTTCATAATTAAAGGGAATGGCAAGTGTAAGGATAAAAGTCAGAGAGGTGTGTGCAAAAAGGTCGATAATAGGATAAGAAAGCATATGTGGGTTGACAGTCTGTGATAAGGTGATCCTGGCTATCTTATAATATAGATAGGCGGCTTGGTCGGATGCCTCGATGAAATGAGGGTCAAGGTTGGCCCTCGAGGAGCTTTCATCAGACATACTAGATCGCTTGCCACCAGCCGTGAGAATGAAAAATAAAGAAACATTGAGAGCAAGCATGAATAGAGAAGGCTTGGGTGAGAAAAAATGTTTGAGAGCCTCAATTTATAATGAAATGGATGAATCATCCAGGATGATCGTAGAATCATCCAGGACGATTAAGTGAAATTATTGCATCTGGGATGATTGGTCAAAAAGGCATTTATATCATCCAGGATAATCAGACATCATCTGGGATGATAAGATACATGTGATCATCCTGAGGAGTCATGCTGGATGACCATTGAAAAAGTAGATAATCCAAGATGATTAGGTGGATCGTCGAGTATGAAGAGTAATAATTGATTGTACTGGTCGAATTTAAAATGTGTGACAACTTTTGCCACATGGATCATCCAGGATAAATAGGTGGATTGTCCAGGATGATTACCAATAATTGAGCAGAAATTGTGAAGATCATCAAGGATGAGAAGGATCATCCAAGATGATCATAAATAATTGAAGCACAAAAAATGATCAGATCATCCAGGATGATGATGGATCATTTAGGATGATTATAAACATAAAAGTTATACCAGCCGTCAGATAGAATTTTAAGAGTGGATTGAATGTATCGTCCAGGATGATATGAATATCATTCAGAATTATGTGAACAAAGATTGAAATTATGAAGATGGATGGAGATGATCTAAGAAAGCCCAAAAACATAAAAAACAATAGTAAAAGATAAAAATAAAATACAAAAAAGATAATAAAAATGGCAAAATGAACAAAAAAATGTTTTTTTATTTTTTATTTTATTTTAATCAAAGCACGAATATGATAAGTTCTTCATGTGATTGAATTAAAAATTTATAAGAACAATGAGTTAACATTATCAAAATCTAAAAAATTGTAGAATAGTTGATCATGTTAGCCCTAGCTCAGACTTCTCTTAGGGTAAATCATCTTTTAAAAATAAAAGACCTAACTCAAAAAAAAAAAACTAATTGAATAAGAAAAAGAGATCCATTCAAAACTTGGTTCCAGAAAGATATCTTGTAGAATAATATATTAAAGTAATTTGTAACAATCATGAAATTCAAAATCAAGCCTTTGAAAATATTAAGTGACACATGAATTCTTCTAAGATTTAAAGGTTTGAAAGAAAAAAAAACTAATTGAATAAGAAAAAGAGATCCATTCAAAACTTGGTTCCAGAAAGATATCTTGTAGAATAATATATTAAAGTAATTTGTAACAATCATGAAATTCAAAATCAAGCCTTTGAAAATATTAAGTGACACATGAATTCTTCTAAGATTTAAAGGTTTGAAAGAGAAGGAAGCCTGCCTTTTGTGGGCTCATATTATGTCTCTTATCAATTGATTGACACACTTTACGCATATTTTGCTTTTTTTTTGAAACACTCTATGTATCTTTCAAATTTTTTGCGGTCATTATGTATCTTTTTAGTTTTTCTTTATTTTGAGGCTCATTTTATGCCCTTATAATTTTTTTTGCAAACTAGATTCCTTTTCAAAAATCTTAAATACTCTTAGTTGTGAATATATCTTTCAGATATTAAAGAAGAAAAACTCACTCTCTAACATAAAGAAGAATGAAATATAAAATAGAGTCAAATTCATATGATACAATGACAAGATTATGAAAGTTTGAAAGTAATATAAAGACTTTGGGCATTATATATATATATATATATATATATATATAAGATAGATTACTATAGCAAGATAAAAAAGGTCTCAATTGCAAAGTCTAGTTGTTAATTTGATAAAGACTTTTATTTAAAAAAGAAAATTACACCTCTAAAAGAGGTTAGAGGATGGGAAATAATCAACGGTATTTCTCCCTTTAACTAATTTAGATATGTCAGACATTGACTACAAATTTTTAAAAACAAAAATAAGGCATAAAATATCATTTTAGCTATGACAAAAAAGAAAAATAAAAAGAGAACATCAGAGATTAAAACACTATAAAATAATAGCAAATAAAGAATCAACACTCAAAATAAAAAAAATAGAAAATAATAACGAGCAATTGATCAAAAAATATATAAATCAGAATTTATTAAGCAACAAGTTCATGCAGTTATGTGTCATGAGCCTCCGCTATGCAAGTAAAACATGCTATCACGAGGCCTTTTATGAGAGTAACCCTACAAAATCATCAAACCTCAGATTTAGGAACCCAACTAAATTTAGGTCCCTTCTTATGAAAAGAAGGAAGTGATGCATGTATGTTATGTTGTGAATCATAAAGTTTGGATCTCCGCACCCAATAAGTACTATGGTGAATAGTGCAAGTGTGTGAAATGTGCCCTAGCATGCCACATGAATAATATCTAACACTAGGAAAAGGATTTACTAATCTACTCGGGTTATACTGCCTCTTCCTAAGTTTCAAAAAATTTGGCTTTGGATTAAGATTGAAAAACTATTCAGGAGTTGGTGGATTCCTATTTTCCTCAAGTGTTTTCAATTCAGCTTTGAACCTCAAGTTAGCACTTTCAAAAATGGTATTATTAACTTTTAAATAGTGCTCCCTATGCTCAAATTCTTTAATATATATTTTAAAATCAGTTTCAATTGAGGTGTAGGATGCTTTCAATGAATAATGCTCAATGACCAACTTAGAATGCTTTTTATTTAACTCATAAAACTCATCAAGTAATGACATGTGATTGCTATCAAGTATGGGGTGATGTTTAAAAATAACTTTATGCTCTTTTTATAAATTTAAAAACTCCAATTTCAAGCTAGCATGCAATTTCTTAAGTTTTCCATATGATTCATGAATTTGTTTAGAAACTTTAAGTAATTGACTGTAAGTTAGTTTGCATACCTCTTCTTGGTCAGATTAACCAAGATGATCATCAGCCATCAAGCACAAGTTTGTTGTATCCTCTTCAGCTTCCATTTCAGAGAAGTTCGAAGCAGAATCTGCCCATAATGCCTTTTGGAACCACTTCTTGTCCTTCCTGGACTTAGGTTTCTCCTCACCCTTCTCCTTACTTCGGTGAGCCTTAAGTGTAGGGCAATCAGCTTTAACATGTCTAGGCTTCCTGTATTCAAAACAAACTATATCAGAAGAACTTTTAAAATTTTTGCTACCCTTATATTTATTCAACTTCTGATGGTGCTGGTGATTTTTCCTTAGAAAGCTTTTGAATTGCCTAGTGATTAAAACAACATCATTACTTTCAGACCTAGAAGAATTAGTATATGTATCGTTGGCCTTCAGTGCCACAGTCTTCTCCTTCTTCCTCTCGCCTACATTAAGTAGTCTTTGATTCACCCCTTACTCGTAAGCAATGAGTTTTCCAAAAATTAAAATGAATATTATGAAAAAAAAATGTGGTTGGGTAATAGAATACCCTTCCATGGTATTATGATTACCAAACATAGACATTGATCGAAATTCAAAAGTTTTAAAAAACTCATTTTTATGAATCCCGCTCTGATACCACTTAAAAGTTTGTTAGGAATGTTAAGCCCTTATGAACTAGTCCCGAGGCTAACCAAGAGGGGGGTGAATTGGTATTTAAAATTTTCTTAAAACAAAATCACAAACATAACCAAACAATCACCACAAAAATTAAAGTGCAGAAATTAAATGCAAAAAAATAATAATATAGAACACACCAAAATTTATAGTGGTTCGGTTAACTTAACCTGCATCCACTCCCCAGAGCCTCTCTTTCGGGTATTACACTAAACTCGGTGTATATCCTTTTTCCTCTAAAGTAAGGCAGAGAAACCCATATAAAACTTCTTTCCATTGACCCCGGTGAGGTAGAGATCCTAACTCTTTTTACTTCCTCCTGAAGCAGGTAGAGAATCCAACTCCTTTTGTTTCCTCCTGAAGCAAGTAGAGAATCTCAATCAGTTGCTGAAGTATACCTCTCTTGAACCTCCAAGGAATCGGGGATGATGACTAGAGAACATGACTCGGATACTTGCTTGGAGCAACCTTTGTGAAACCCCTCACAAACTCCCCCTCATAAGATCCCCTCTCTCTCTCTCTCTCTCTCTCTCTCTCTCTCTCTCTCTCTCCCTTGCTCTCCCTCTCCTTTTGGCTCTCTTAGGTCAAGATAATAGCAAAAGATCTCTTTTTGAGAAAACAAGAGATCTTCTAAAGAAGGGCTTCAAATTTTCTCTAATTTGCAACTAATCATCAAAGATCGTCAAGGATAATTGACTGATCGTCCTATACGATCAATTCAAATTTAGCTCAATCAGCCATAATAATTTGGGAGAGTTTAGATGAGTAAAAGGTTTCTTTGTTCATATCATCCATGATGATATTATATTATCTTATATGATTAGTTTAAGTCATCAAATATCATCCAAACCATCCACCTGTATGGATATCTAAATGATGAAAAAATAACTTATTGTTCAGGCTGATTAGTACAAAACATCATATATCGTCCAAAATATTTCCCTGGATGGATGTCTAGATGATAAAAAAATAACTTGATCATCAAGGACAATTTTGGATCATCCTGAATAATTAGTTCAAATCAATACATATCGTATAGAGCATCATTCAGGTCATCTAGGAAGAACTAAGATTTGTTTAACCAATCATCCCGGCTAATCTTGCGATCATCTAGGACAATATGATCAAGAAATCAAAACTTAATTACTTTTCTTAATTACTAAACTAATTTAAGCATAATTATAATGCATCATCAGGATGATATCCTGAATAATGTCTAAAAATAAAACATGCCTATAAAGGTTGTGGCAGCTGATTCTTTCTGATTTAACCTATCATTCTGGATGATGATAATATCATCCAGGATGATTTGCTTAATTATAGCTATCTTAACCAGGATGCCCTAATTAGGGTTTCTATTTTTGACTGATTGTCCAGGATGATTTTGGATCATCTCGAATGATGTGATAAAAAATAGAAGAAATTAAAAACAAATAAAATCTTTTTCATGAGCATGTGTGTCCTAAACTGGCTTGATTTACACTCGACCTTATGGACCTGAAACATTAGTAGGTAAGGCAGTCATAGAAAAATATAAGTAATAGAAATGTTTACCATCATCAAAATTTTATTTCCTGAAATTAGATTCATAATAATCATCCTTGATGATCTTTAACAGCAAGTTAAAAATTAGGGCATTTTTAGAACCATCTATTTAAACTCTCTTATTAGCTGATGAAAAAAATCTTTTGCTAGTTTCTTGACATGAGAGAGCTTAAAGAAGGTGAATGAGAGCTTGGGAGAGAGAGAAAATCTTATGAGGGGGAGTTGGTGAGGTGTTCATAAAGGTTGCTCCAAGCAAGAATTCAGGTGTCTTCTCCAATCATTGTCCTTGGCTCCTTGGTGTCTCTAGGGAGGCCTCCATTAACACTAGATCAAAGTTCTTTTCCTACTTCAAGAGGAAGAAAATGGAGTTGGGGTTCTCTATCTGCTTCAGGAGGAAGCAAAAGGAGTCTAGGTTCTCTGCCTCATAGGGGTTAGTAAAAAGATTTTATACGGGCTTCTCCTCCTTACTATGGGATCAAGAGGAGAGACACTATAACTTTAGTGCAATACCTAGAGGGAAGGCTCCAGTGAGTGGATGTAGGTCACATTCACCGAACCACTAAAAAAATTTGGTGTATTCTTTCTATTTTAACTCTTGTACTACATTTTCGTATTATTTACTCTTGATTATTTTTGTGGTTGAAATATCATAATTCTTTTTTAATGACATTATTCTGCTTTTGTCTTGGGATAAAAGTAGTTTGTTTAAAAATATCAAAATCTCAAAAATATTTTTCTTTTTTTTTTAGGAATTTTTAAAATACCAATTCCCCCCCCCACCCCCACACACACACACTTAGTTAGTCAAGGGCTAGTTTATAAGGGCTTAACAATCCTAACGAAGGCATCAGAGCAGGATTCAAAATATCAATTTCTCAAAAACATTGAATTAAAGATCCATAGTTAACTTTAGTAACCAAAACATGGACGAAGGGTATTACATTACTCAACCACCCTTATTTGATAATATACTATTAGATTTTTGAAAAACTCGCATGTCCGCCTTTTTGCAATCAATAAATTATCGCATGTGGATGCTTGTAAAGGAAGATTATTCTACACCAACATGTGAAATTAATGGCCTAAAAACTAAACTTCCTTTTTCTGAATGGACTTTTGATGATAGAGATCTAGCATAACTTAATACAAAATATTTAACTATTTTTTATGTGCACGAAAATTTGAAGATTACATGCGTGTTTTAACATGTGCAAATGGTAAAGAAACTTGGGATAGATTATGCATTTTATTTGAAGGCACAAGTAAAGTTAAGCAAACTATGTTAAATATTTTACTTCATGATTACAAATGTTTTTGCATGAAACATACTAAGTCAATATATAAAATATATACTAGGTTTACACAAATAGTCTCCTCCCTGCATGCCTTAGGAAAAGAGCTAACAAACCATAAGAAAGTAAACAAAATTTTGAGATATTTACCTTCTTCCTTTGATGCTAAGATTAGTGATATAACTGAATCCAAGGATTTGAATGTTTATTCTATAGATAACTTACTTGGATTACTCATTCCTTACAAGAAAGGAGTGAACCAAAGACAACTTGATGCAGGGGAGAAAAAGTAGGAAAGAATTGTAGCCTTCAGGGCTGATGATTCTGACATTGATTCTTTATGTTATGAGTATGATGATATTGCCTTAATTACAAGGCAATGCAAAATCTTCTTGAGAAAGAAGCAAAAACACCATCAGAAGTGGAACAAAGGTAAGAATAGCAAGAATTCTAAAGGTTCTTCTGAAGTGATTTACTTTGAATGCAGAAATCCGAGACATATAAAATCTAATTGTCCTATAATTAAGGCTCACCCAAGCAAAGAGAAGGGTGAGATGAAACTCAAGTTCAAAAAGGGCAAGCTAATAACCCAAAAGGCTTTTTGGGTAGATTTTGCATCAGACTCCTCTGAAACTAAAGTTGAAGAGGAGATAACAAACTTTAGTATGATGAAGGATGATCTTCTTAGTCACTCACCAAGAAGAGGTATGTTAATTAACATACAATCAATTATTTGAAATTTCTAAAAAAATTCATTCTTCGTATAGGAAGCTTAAGAAACTGCATGTTAGTCTTAAAACTAAGTTTTTAAATCAGCAAAATGAGCATGAAATTCTAAGGAAAGATCATTCTACTCTGGATAGCAATCATATGACTTTGTTGGATGAATTTGACTCGATCAATGCATCGTGATTTAATAAATGAGCATGACTCCTTGAAAAGTTTACATATTGAGTTAGAAAATGTATACAAGGACTTAGACACTATTGCAACTGATTTAGATAGTAGGGAGCATGCTTTAAAAATAGAAATTTTAATTCTTAAAAATTCAAATAACTTTTTAGAAGCTAAATTAATTGCTTTCAAAGAAAATAAAAAACCACCCATAATGCTTGAGTTTCATAATCAATCAGATCAACATGCATCATTAAACCTAGGAAGAGGCACTATAACCCAAGTAGACTAGTAAACCCTTTTCCTGATGTTAGATGTTTCTCTTGTGGCATGCTAGAACATATCTCCCACACATGCACCGTTTATCATATAACACATTTAGTGTGGAGACCTAAAGTTCAATATTTACAGCATAGCATGCATACATTTCATTGTTCTCTCCATAAGATGGGACCCAAACTTATTTGGATTCCCAAATTTGATATATGATGATTTTGTAGGGGTGCTCTCACACAAGATCTTATGAGGGTATGTGGCACTTGGATAGTGGATACTTATGCCATATAATTAGAGATTCTAATAAATTTATTTCACTAGAGGCCGGGGCTAGAGGCAAGGTCACTCTTGGAGACAACTCTGCTAGGAAAGTGGTGGGTGCAGGTATGATCAAAAACTCCAAGAACTTTTTAATTGAAAATATTTTACTTGTTGATGGCTTAAAATATAATCTACTAAGAATAAGCCAACTATGTGAGAAAGGCTACATAAGTAAATTTCTAACTGCTAGTTGCATCATAAACCTGAATGGAAAAAATAAGCTGCTTGAAAAAAGATTGAATAATATTTACATGCTAGATTTAAATTATATTAATTTTGAGAACACCCTTTGCCTAAAAACTGTTGCTTATGAGTCTTGGTTATGTCATACTAGCAAGAAGATACTTAGAAAAGTAAACTAAAAAGACTTAGTAAGAGGGATCCCCAAGCTTGAATTCACTGAGGACCACCTGTGATGCCTGTCAATTAGCAAAATAAGTCAAATCCTCTAGTCATTCCATTAACGATATTAACACTTCTAAACATTTAGAAGTCCTTCACATGAATTTATTTGTACCCATTAGCACTACAAGCTTATGGGGAAAGATCTTTAGGTTTATAATAATCGATCATTACTCGAGGTTCACTTGGACTAGATTTTTATCACATAAAAGTGAGTCATTTGATGAATTTAAATCATTCTTCACTTGGATTAAAAAAAAACTAGATTGTGATATCTTGACCATCCATAGTGACCATGTCAGAGAGTTTAAAAATGAGATATTTGAAACTTATTATGAGAAGCAAAGGATTAGTCATAAATTTTGAGCTCTTAGAACCCCTCAGTAGTATGGGATAGTTAAAAGGAAGAATAGATACTTGTTGAGTATTCACTTGTAAAATACTTTTGGCCGGAAGTGATGAATATAAAATATTATGTGTTGAATAGGGTGAATGTTAGATCCAAATTGAATAAGACACCCTATGAGATCATTAAAGGTAAAAAACCCAACCTTTCTCACCTCCAAGACTTTGGATGTAAGGTTTTCATTATAAATAATGGGAAATCACTCTTAGGAAAATTTGACCCAAAATCTGATGAAGGAGTATTCTTAGGCTATTCAAAAGTAGGGAAATCCTATAAAGTGTTTAATAAGAGGATATTGGTGGTGGAGGAGACTACTCGTATAGTATTTGATGAATTTGATTCTAAGAAGTCTAGGTTTGATGAAGAAGATGAAGTAGGTGAGATTACCCAAGGAGAAGAAACTATAAATCTAGAGGAATGGGTAGAACCTAAAAATACTTTGCCTAGAGAATGGATATATTCTTTAAGTCATCCAAAATAACTTATCTTTGGAAACCCTTCTGAAGTTGTTAAAACTAGACATGAACTTAGAAAGAAGTAAACCACTCTGCCTTCTTCTCAATGAAGGAACCCACCAACATCAACAAGCCCTTTCTGATGAATTATGGATCCTAACCCTGCAAGAGGAACTAAACTAATTTTTTAGGAATGATGCTTAAGAGCTAGTAGAATGACCTAAGGACCAAAATTTTGTATGAACCAAATGGGTCTTTAAGAATAAAATGAATGATTCTTGTGTGGTGGTTAGGAATAAGGCAAGATTGGTGGATAAGGGGTATAACAACACTTGATAGCTAGCATACGTGATATAATATTTAGTGTTTGCCTTTGTGCTAGATATCAAGCTAATCAGAAGGAGTCCCACCTGACTGTAGTTAAGAGAAAACTTAGTTATCTCTTGGGAACCTAAAACCTAAGAATTTGGTATCCAAGGCATAACACTTCCTTTTAGATTATAAGTTATTCTGATTCAGACCTTACAAGGTGTAGGGTGGATATAAAAAGCACCTATGAAATATGTCAATTCATAGGATAATCCTTAGTCTCCTGCTCCAGTTGAAAATAAAACTCAGTTGCACTTTTGACTACTGAAGATAAAAACATGGCCTTAGGAAATTGTATGGCCCAAGTCCTTTGGTTAAAGCAATAGATTCTATATTTAGGATTACCTGTAGGCACAATGTTAATCCTATGTGATAACACTAGTGTAATCTACATCTCTAAAAATTATATCAAATATTCTAGAACCAAACACATTGACATAAGGCATCACTTTATTAGGGATCATGTTACTAAATGAGACATTGAGCTACATCATGTAACAATTGAAAATCAACTAGCTGACTCTTTACTAAACCACTGGTCTTTAAAATTTTTAGCATCTTAAGGACTATATTAGGTGTTATAGACATAAATAAATGAACTTTGTGATTACCGAACTAGAAATTTTTTTTATTTTTTATCTTATTTTTTTTTTGCATGATTATTTCTGTCAATGTGCTTCTATTTTCTATTTTTTAGTAATATATTATTTTTTCATTCATTTTTTTCCACTATTAGAATGACATTTTTGCCTTACTTTTTTTTAAAAAAAAAAATTATAAATAATGATTGGCATGCCTAAATCAGTTAAAGGGAGTTGATTATTTCTCTTCCCTAACTCCTTAGGGATGTAATTTTCCTTTCGAAGCAAAAACTATTTCAAATTAAAAATTGGACTTTGAAATTGAGATCTTTTCTATCTTCTTTTTGTAATCCATCTCATATGAATAATGTTCAAAGTCATTAAATCACTTTCAAGCTTTCTTGATCAGGTTATTGAAATTATCATATGAATATAATTCTACTTTGTGGTTTACTCCTCCTTATATTAGATAGTGAGTTTTTTTCTTCTCTTATATATGGAAGATATTCTCATAATTGAGAGTGTTCAAAGGTTTCAAAAGGGAGCTTGCTCGTAAAAATGACAAGATCTATAAAATGGACCCAAAAAAAACTTAAAAGATGCATAATGATCATCAAATAATTGAAAGATACATAATGTGTATCAAAAATAAAAAGATGAGCAAAGTCTGTCAAACAACTAACAAGAGGTACAAAATGAGCCCACAAGAAATTAACCTTCCTTCTTTTTTAAACATTTAAATCTTGGAAAAATTCATTTGTTAGTTGATATCTTCAAAGACTTAATTTTTGAAACTCAAGATTTTGACTAATTACTTTGCTATATTATTCTATCATATATATTTTCTAGAATGAAGTTTTAAACATATCCAATTTTTTTCTTAATTAGGTCTTTGTTTTCAAAAGATTTTTTACACTGTCACGAGTCTGAGCTGGGTTTAACAAGATCGATTGTTATATTATTTTTGGATTTTGGAGATATTAATTCATTTCTTATTATTTTTTATCCAACCACGAGGAAAATTTATAATTTTATAGTATTGATCAAAGTTTATTCATTCTAGTTTGTTCATCATTTTTGTTTATGTATCTATACTGGTTTTTTAAACACTGTCGTTGCCAGGTCCCAAGTCCTGGATGAGAAAAGTGGAGGGTTATGTTAGGTAGTCGACAGCCAGCGTAAAACTTGTCGAACAATAATGACATGAATCCTTTAAGAAATTGTGTTAATGCTAGGGTGTCCCTTGGAAGCGACGTGCTGTATGGCCTAAATACAGTGACAAGTGTGAAAGGGCCGCTGCACCGATGCCCGGGTGTAGTGTTAATAGGCAAGGGTTCCCACATCAAGGACGGATGTGGGCAAAGAAGCTAGTCCATGAAACTAAAATTAGGATAGGAACTTGGAATATAGGTTCCCTTACAGGGCCCGTGACTTGCCACTCACTTGCGGCCTGCCTCACCCCTGGCCCCTTGCACTCGTGCTGGCAGCCTCGGACCTGCGACCGCTCTCAGCCTCGCCCTCGCCAAGGTTAGTGTGTTGGGTCTAGTTCACCTGGGTTTGGGGCGGGTAGGGTTCGTTTCAGATTTTTAAACGCTTGTGTAATCGGGTCAGGTTAGGGTTGGATCAATTGAGGGTGGGGCAGTTTCGGGTTGGACCCGAACCCAACCCAAAAACTCATTTTGACACCCCTAGGGCCACACATGTACCACAACTTAGGCACTAAATATTAATGTGTTAGTTGTTGAGGTCATTTCGTAAAGATAAAAAACTAAATGAAATGTCAAGCAAAACCAATTTGGCAAATTGGGCTATAATATGTTAGGCTAAGATTCACTCGAAGGTCATAATCAGCTAGCTTGCATGGGGAATAATTCCTCTTAGCTAAAAAGATGAAACGATGTCTAAGTACCTAATGAGATTTTCACAATGAAGAATTATTCAACAAAAGATGGACATTCACCATACAGAAGCCGCCATTCATTGTTTCCATTCAATTGAATGACATGGTCTAGGCATCAAGGATGCAATGATTCAAAGTATAATTCTGAAAAACTGAATTCCCCTTTCAGGAATTCATAGAGGGATTAAAAAAAAGAGACGATAAAGATGACAATGGTTCCACACATCTCAAAACATAAACTTTTAATTAAGAGAAATCATGACAACTTTCCATCCTCTATCATAGATGTAGGTCACAAAAATTTAACTACTTTAATTTTTTGCCTTTTTCTTCTTATTTTCTCTCTTACTCGCTCTTACAACTCAGAGTCTCTCTCTAATCTCTATTCTCTAAAAGTACATGAACTTCGGGATGCCAAATCTCATCGTTCATAGTTTGGTGCCTTTGTTTAGACATGCACCCAAGTAGAGCTTTTCCCGATAAGGAACAAGAATGATCAAGATAATCTCAACAAAACGATCTTTTTGTCTAATTGTTTCTCTTTATGGGACAACCTACTGACTAGCAAAACGAAGGGCAAAGGGTTGGCGATAGAGCCACCTATGGTAGGAGAAGCTAAAGAAATATCTCTAGAAAGACTAGCTTGGATGAAGCCCTGGTTTGGATGGTATTGTAACCTCTGGTTTTAAAAGAGAGAAATCAACAAAAATAAAGACAGTGAAGCTTATTGCGAGGTTGATTAAATCCTTTGCATCTTTAAGAGGAATGCCTCCTACGGAGCAAGTACTTTCATGCAAATCATTCTCAACTGAAAAAAAAAAAAATTCAAAAGCAATATCATTGAGGAGGTCATGCAAAGCATCACAAAAGAAAGTTATAGGTGTTGTGATTCCTCATTTCAAAATCTATTTTTGACATAAAAATAATTGAAAATGAGGAGGAACAAATGTGGGAAATTAGTATGCCTACTCATGGAGATCAAATCAAAACAGCTCGTGTGTCTCAAATTGGGCATGTCATGAGAATAAATATTAAATAAATAGTCAAGATAAATCAGACTAATAACACAAATTAGAATTCACTTAACTCAAATACGCTCAAATGTCAAAGTTCACCCCCATGTCATCAAATTAGCTCGTCAACATAGGAAATAATTACCCTCGGCTAAACGTGAAAGAACATCAAAGTAATTGATGAGGCATTTAATACAAGAATCAATTTGATGGGAAGAATTACAATTCATCATAAATAGGTGACCATTCATTGCATCCATTCCAATGATGAATCAAAACATCTAGGTATTAATGGGTGCAACAATTCAAAGGATGATGGTTCTAAAGACTTGATTAATTTCTTTTTGAAGCATCAATAGAAGACGAGACAACTAGAAAAGCAAGGAATCTTTTCCCAGCATTTCAAAACCACTTTGAATTATTGTCTCTCTTCCCCTCATTTTCTCTCACTTAATCTCAATAGATTCTCTCTTTTGATTCTAAAAATATATAAACTTTGGGCCATCAAATTCTAGACATTTACAATGACCAAATCATTTAATGCACAAAAAGTTCAAAGCCCTAAGATGCATGTCGTATGCCTTCTAAAGTTGGTTTTTAATTGGAGATGTGATCTATTTTTTGGATTTTCTTTTCAAGTGACAAATGCTTAGATAAGCTGACCCTTAATGCTCAATTGATTGCAGCTGTAGCCTACCAGATAAAGATTCCATAGGGGGAGAATCCTTAAGAATTCAGATCAAGATGAAAGTAACTAGTTCAATATTAAAATCTTTTAAAGTCGATCTTTCTAGCAGGATTATGAAATAGGTCTGAGGCCAACCTATTATGATGTTATTTGATATAGCATCAGAATTCCTGATCTTGATTACGGTTGGCCATACACAGACATGATAATTTTTTAACATATTGTAAGCCAAAGCTGATAGCTCTGGGGATCATTTTTTGACGAACCAAGTGCAAAATTAATGCGCATTTAGCTACAAGAGACTGCAAAATCACTATAGACGGGTATTAGCACGCTCTCATGACCATTGAATGTCGATTTGATGAACTTACAAGGCCTCTGAGAGATGCATTATCAAAGGGGAAAAAGTTAACAGCTATAATGTTGAATTCCAGCTTAATAGCTAAGTGTGTGTATATATATATATATATATATATATATATATATATATATATTATCAGAATCAATCAATAAGTTTTATTGCATACTCAACAAAAAAATATTTGATACTGACTCCGCTCTCTAGAAAGTAGAAGCAGCAACATTAAGCAGTAATAAACTTTACTCAGCACTAAATGCACAAATCGGAGATATTTGGGGGAAATGAAGATAGAACTCAATCAGTTGATAATTTAAACATCAAACAGGCCGAACAATTGTGCTAGCATTTATCAGTCTTATGACATTTTCCTATACTTTTTTGTATATGAGTGAATATTTCAATTATAGCATATTTTGCATACTAAAAACAAATTATTTCTCTAATTTATCATAAATTTCAAGTTAAACTAGTGCAAGCCAGATAGTGCAACTATATGAAACAAGAATAAGTCAAATAACTTACCAAACCACCCTTTTGCTTCAGCAACAGCCCAGTAACTTTGGGCCTCGCTCCGAGGGCCAGCACCATTACGTGTTTCCCCTCCACTAAACAAAAGAAGAGCGTTCTCATCTTGAGCTGCAATCTTCACTCCCTCCTTAATATGAGCAATGAATGTAGCAGCTTGACCTGGATGCTTCTGATAAGGCTCCAAGAACCAGGAATCTTCACTATCAAACTTCCCACAGGTGCTACTAATGTAAATGGAATGTCCAGCCACCATGACAAGATTATGCAAATTCTTCATAGGATAAGAACCATAGACTAAACTTAATTTGTCATTTTGCTGCTTCATCAGCAGGAAACTATTTTCATACATAGACAGAACAATCAACACAGCCAAACCAAATATTAACGAGGCAATGAAAACTAAAAGTGGATGCAGCTTATAGATATAGCTGATTTGGTTTCCAATAGATTTGATCATTCTAATAAATCTGGACACTAAACTTTTTTGTTGTCGGGGTTTTCTAAAGTTTCCAGATTCCAAATCAATGTCCCGTCTAGAATAGGCATGAAAGGGCTTCGGGCTTCCTGGCCCAAATGTGGAGTTGTTCATGAGTGCATTAATTTACTGTCTGTGTAGCTGACGAAAGAAATCATGCATACCCATAATCCAGTTATGATTTTGGAGGGAAAAAAATGGATCGCTCGAGAAAATATGCACGTCAAGAAAATATATCAAGCTGAATCAAAGTTCCAGTAGCATCCAAACTATATGAAATTTCAAAGAGATCGAAATGCCTAGTCTTTAATGTGGTGTCCGCCAATAAAAGTATAAAACAGATCCAAATCATGGAAATCAATCACTCAGTAAACGGAAAGTTGCATTTAGAGGGGTCCTCCAGATCAGGAGAAGGACCAAGTTTCTAACCGCATGCGCAGTAATCTGAAGCCCGAAGATGCCCAGAAAATCTGCGAAGAAAATACATAGAAATAGCCAAACAATTAGCTCTAGAGACAAGAAAAAATTCATAGGAATCTAAATTAAACATAAGCAAACAGCCCCTCCGGGACTGTTTGGCAACAGGATTTATGCAGAATTTGAATAGGATTTAAGCCAAATCCTGCCGAACGGGATTTGAGCGCCCGCTAAATCCCACGGCGGAATAAATCCTGTCTCCCACTTTGGACCGTAAATCTCGGATTTAGTAAATCCTGAAATTCGGCGGATTTACGGGATTTGGCCGAAGAAGCGTGCGAAAGGGAGAAAGATAGTTACCTTCACATCGAGCGGGCTCCCGTCGTTGCCTCCTCTCAAAATGTCGTAACTTCCCATCCGACAGGAAGGGAACGTCGTCGAAGGAGCTAAGTCAAACCGCAACGAAGAGCCGAAGAAGCGACTCTACCTCACGCCAAGCAAGGAAGTCGAACATCAACGACGAAATATAGAAGATGAAGAGTAAATCCTAGACGTGGAAAGAAATTAATCTAATTAACAATTAACTTAATTAATATAACTTAAATATTAATAATCAAGTAAATTTATTAAATAATTAGTAGTATAATTTGTACATATATGTCCCCAAAAAAAATTTGTACATAAATTATTTATCTAATTTTGCTTGATTGAATAATTGGTAGTATTATCTAATTTTTCACTGCCTATTTATACTATACTGTATCAACAATACTTTCTAAATACTTAAATGCAAGGCTGTGAAAACCGGATCAGACAACGAACCGGAAGAATGAGAGGTCAACCGGTCTAACCGGGGTCTAACCGGGGTCGAACCGGATGACGTAATAAATAATAAATATTATTAAAATTTAATAAAATTAACATAATAATAATGTTATCATTCAAAGTTTGAGGCAAAAAAATTAAATTTAAAAAAAAAAAACTATGAAACATAAATTTTATATAATTAAGTAAAAGAATTATATTAAAATCTCACATAAAAGAAAAAAATTCTAAATCTCATATTTATAAGAATTTACACTCATAAAAATATGATAATTTTAAATTTAAATATTTTTTGAATTTTAAATTTAATTTTTAATGTAAATTAAATTTATATATAACCATATAATTTAATATAAATACATATTTAATATAAATTTAATTATAACATAAGTTTATAAATTTAATATAAATTATTCTTATTTTATATTATATGATTAAATATATTTTACATTTGCCTTTATGGTGAATTGAATATCTTTTATATATTCGATTATAGAAATAAATTTATAATTTATTTTTTAATTGGGGCAATAGGAGAATATTCTATTCATCTGTTATGATGGATTGCATTTTCCCTATATTATATTTGATTAAGAAAATAAATTATAGTTTCTCTTTTTAAATCAATTATAGAACATTAGTTTACCCTACAGGATGATATAATGTTAAGCCATGCAGATTTGAATAAAAGAAACTTATAAAGATAAGAGCTTCATTCATTATAATGGTGGTTTTTGTGTCATGGGTTCATGCTTGCATTGATAAGGTTTATTTTTCCATTTTCTACAATCGTGGTCCTTATAGGTTCTTTAATTCTACTTCGGAGCTTGGGCAGAGTTGTCCCCTTTCCCATTATTTATTTTGTATCATTATGGATGTTTTCTCCAATCTGATGGATTTTCATAATTGGTATATCCCTTTTGATGGGATTTCCTCTACTGGGACTACTCTCTCTCACTTACTTTATGTTGATGATTTGCTGGTTTTTGGAAAAGCCTTTTTGTGAAAATACTTATGTTTTGTCTAATACGTTACAAGTTTTTGGAGGTGCCTCTAGTCTTAAGGTTAATGATCAAGATAAGAGCTTTGCTTACTTCTCTAAAGATACTAGTAACTTCATGGGTATTACTAACATTCTCAATTTACCTTTGCGAGAGGATATCTTCAAATATTTGGGGATACCTTTCTCCTCCCTATCTCCTCCATGAGGCTTAGAGTTGCTAGTTTTCTTCCTCTTATGTAAAAAATCTCAAACATGTTAGATGGTTGGACGGCCAATTAAGCTGTTTTCTTTTGCAAGTAGATTGAAATTTGTTAGGTTTAGTATTTGGAACTCTATTGCCTATTGGATTAGAGACTCTATCTTATCTAAGTCATGTTGCAACTTTATTTATAAGCTTTGTGCTAGGTTCCTATTTCATGGTGATACCCAAGCTATAAACTATTTTATCTAAGAAAAAAGGTGGGTTGGGTCTTCCCTCCATTTCTGCTCTAACCCATGTCTATTTCGTTGCTTTGATATGGATATGTCGTTCTTCTTATTCTCTTCTTAGTTGTTGGTTTAAAAAAATTTATATTTTATTTTGGAAGCTCATTTCTCAAAAGGTTTCTGCATACTGAAAACAATTGGTTAAGATTGTTGGGTTGATTAAGCCTAGTTTCTCCATCAGGGTTAGTGATGGTAGTCATACTGCCTTGTGGTGGGATCCCTGGTGCTATGTGAATTCACTTTCTGAGTTATTCTTCCCTTTTGGATTAGTTTTTCCTAGATGCTATAATTTTTTAGTTGGTTACTAGTGGCAATTTGTCCTTCCCTCATAATTTCCTTAGTTCTCTACATAATGTTATTTCAGCTAATCTATGTTTTAATTCTGATGGGGGTTTAAAAACAATTGATCGGCTTATTTTAAGAAGTATCCCTGCTCAGCCCATTCATTTTTTTTGTAACTACCACAATTAATTTATTTCTCATCATTTTTTTAATGTGATTTTTTTCTTTTAAAGTATTTAGGTTTTTGTTTTTCATGCAGATTTTGAATTATATCAAAGGATACTCCCAATTCTCTAAGGCTATAAAAAAATTCTTATATGAGGTAATTTGTGCTTCTATTTACTTTCATGCAGATTTTTCTGTTTGCTGCCTTCAATGGATGCCCCATTGCCTAGGCAACTTGGTTGTGCTCATTAAAAGGTTGGCAATTTTTGCAGGAAACATCTTGCCAGTTCTTAAGTCTGGCTAGCCTTTGGGCCTCTAGTTTTATCTCTTTTATACTTGGCTTAGTTCTGGATGGCCTTCTTATTGCTTATTAAAGCAAATTTTTAGTATAAAATTTTAATTTTTTAGTATAAAATTTTAATTTTTTAGTATAAAATTTTAATTTTTTTTATCAAAAAAATGCATCAAGAAACAGTAAAAAAGCCGGGTTGTCTCTTTTTTAGGTTGTTTATCGATCTTAGTTTTTTATAGGTGTTCATTGTTATGTAATTTCTTATTTTTTCTTCTTTTTGGGACCTTGTTTTTATATCCCTTCTTCAGCAATGAAAAATGGGTTTGCCCGAACAATTTTTCAAAAAAAAAGTCGCAGAATACTAGACAAATCGCCCCCTCCCTGCAGGAAATTTCCAGACTAGCAAGCCCGCCATTACCGAATTCTCAAGTCTTCAGAAGTCTCGCACTACCATTCGAGCCGCGTCTGGCTAAGTTTTCAAGAGAAGTTCGCTGGACTTTCCATGTCCCTTCCTATCTTTCAGTCTCTCTGAATCTCTCCAGCCTAAGGCTCTTTTCCTCTTCCCCAAAGTTATGAAGAGATCTTACAGCTGAAGATCCTTAGGGCATCTCCAATCGAACTCCAAACACTTGAATGGCGTCGCTCGCGAGCTCCAGCCGAATCCTAAGACTTTCATTATTTAGTTGCAGGTGAACAGTGGGACGCCAATATTATTGGCGTTGTACTGTTCATCTTCATTATTTTTCTGTCTCTATCGAACTTACAGAAGAAACGCCGAAAGAAGAGAAAGATCATTACCTTCACAAAAGTGGGCAAAATGGAGTTCGATTTGAGATGAATCACGGCATTTTTTAGTTTCACGACATTTTGGAGTGAAAAATGAGATTTTCCGTTGGGGATGGTCTTAATCCCTGTGAACTCAAAAGCACCTATACAACTCGTTAGGCGCAGAAATTCATCATCATCCTTTGGCAAAGTAGTGAGTAGGGGTGTCAATTATTGACCTGACCCGATAACCCGACCCAAACCTGACCCGAAAAATCCGGGTTAGGGCCGACCAGTTTAACAAACGGGTCGGGTTCGGGTCTCAACTTTCGACCCGTTTAAAAAACGGGTCGGGTCCGAGTCAACCCGGTAACCTGAAATTGACTCGGAATTGACCTAGTAACCCACTTGTTTTAAAATTTTCCCGCGTGGGACTGGCCGACTGGGAGGGAAATACGAAATAGCATTTGTGTCTCAACTCGAGGGATTAGATTGGAAGTCGCCTGGCAAGCCCGCTGTCCACGTCAACACGTCGCTGCTCACCTAGTTGCAGTCACCTACTCGCCTACGAGGCTACGCCGCTACGGCGCGTCGGCGCATAGTCCACGGTCTTTTTTTTTTTTTTTTTTTTTGAGGCTACGCTGCTACGGCGCCTAGTCCACGGTCTTGGTCCGCACCGCCTCAGCTCGCCGCGACGCCGCCCGCGCTAGCAAGCCCTCTGTCCGTCGTGCAACATCCTGTCACGAAGTCATGCGAGTCAGTTGAGACGGAGACGTCGAGTCGGCACCGACCGACGACGGCATTTCCCGTCACGAACTCACACTCACCTTAACGCTCGTCTTTGAATAAAACGTGTCGTGGTTTGGGTCCGGGTTAAATTTCTTGACCCACTTAGCTAAACGGGTTGGGTTCGGGTTGACCCGTTTACACTCGAATCAAGTCGGGTTCGACCTGAACCCGACCCGTTGACCCGAATTGACACCCCTACTTATCTACCTATCTATATGCGGGTGAATTTTTTGTAGGATGCTATAACTTAAACTCTTTTTTCCTTTCCACGAGTATTTTATTGTACAACAATGCTCACATAAATATAAATTTATATGCATATATTTCTATACATATAATGCAAGGACCACTATATTAGTGATCAGATAACCTGTGGTCCTGTTATGGCTTAAAATTAATACGGTAAGTTGATATGTTCATTTTTTATTGTCAGTTAATGTCTTCTAGGCATTACAACGTTGATTTTTTTCTGTTATTGCGTAGAAAAAATAAGTTTTATGGGAGCGCTATAATATTATGTTACATCATTATATGTATTCTACTCTATTTGGAGTCTTTGGGAGCATTACGTACGGTGCTGGTCTCTGCGCTGTGACGCCAAATTCTCTGTAATCTGAATATAAAATAGAATTCCTTGGGAGTATTATGGCGTCGAGCCGTCGACCATTTGGGCATCACGGCTTTGTAATCAGAATTTTCATAAATATCAAAATCCACTAAAATTTTCAAAATCTCATGTCTATCGTTTGATTCGTCGAACTAGAGAGAGAGAGAATATTTTTTGGATAGAGACGATATTTTCAGTAATATTAATTTGATGTAGTAGCTTTGTGTTATGTTCATAAATGAAATGAAAATAAATTACTTATGAATAGATCTTGCAAACTGAATAGTTATAATTTCATACGATGCCACCCGTTTAGTACACA